AAGATATTAAATAATCACTTCGATAATTGCGATCTTTACGGACAATAATTATTATTTTAATACTTAGAGTCACAAATATATTTCATCCGTGTCATTTTATCGTTCTTGACAATCTAAATATAATTTGGATTGTTGAGAGAACACGAAGTAAAACAATCGAATTATACATGCAAATAATTAGCATAACGAAAAGCTCCGTGATAAATTGTTTAATCAATCACGAATTTTAATGAATAAATTAAAATATTTGTATAATTTAATATTCCACGTTAATGTATATTTTATAATATATAAAATATTCAGCAGCGAATTATCGAACACGGCGTTCGACTTTAGCAATATAAATTATAAACAGTAGCGCTCTATACGTTACCGCTTTGTCATCATTCGCACAGTGACTCTCGAGTAATAAAGTTGTGGTGAGAAACGCTTCGTTTATTGTAATTTTTTTGTTAAACACGATTATGATTAGTCTTGAAACATAATTTGCTATGAATATTAATAAATATTAATTAATTAAAACTTAATTAACGACATGAAACTGTATGGCAACAATAAATCTCTATCGAATATCGAAATCATTCATTATTGCGATTAAGAATTGAAACAGGGAATACATAAAAGAGGATAAAAGAATTGTTATAAAAGAATTAATTATGTTATGATATTCATCATTGATGCTTATAATATTTCTTTAACAATGCTAGAATTAACTATATTTCGACTAATGCTTTAAATTTTCTCAATTTTTATTAATTAAACAATATACAATCTAATCGAGAATCGAATGAATAATCATCCAAAATATTAAATCGTTTGATCGTTGCGATCTTCACAGATAACAATTATTATTTTAATACTTGGAATCACAGATATATTTTATCTGTAAATTTTTTTAATGTCGCTAATCAATTAATCAAAGGATTATTGGAAATAATGTAATCGACCAAAACTAGCCAGAATTTTTTTGTTTATTAATTACAACGTTTCGAGTTTATACTTGAAAAGGACCACAATCATATGGTCGAAACTAATAAACAAAAATTCTGGCTAATTTTGGTTGATTACATTATTTCCAATGATCTTTTTATTTTATCCATATTATCTGACAATCTAAATATAATTTGGGCAAGGAGGAATTATGAGAAAACACGAAGTAAAGGGATCGAATTATAGATGCAAATAATTAGCATAACGAAAGGCTCCGTGAATTGTTTAATAAATAATCAATTTTAATCAATAAATTAAAATACTTTCATAATTTAATATTCCGCGTTAATGTATATTTTATAATATAGTTATATTTTATATTTTAAAATATTTCGGCACAAATTATCGTTAACACGTCGTTCGACTTTGGCAATATAAAATATAAACAGTAGCGCGTTATACATTGCCGCTTTGTAATTATTCGCACGGTGACTCTCGAGTAATAAAGTAGTGGTAAGAAACGCTTCGTATAATGTAATTTTTTTACTAAACGATTTTTTTACTACACGATTACGATTAATATCGGAACATAATTTGCTATAAATATTAACAAAATTAATTAATTAAAAATTAATTAACGACATGAAACTGTATCGCAACAATAAATCTTTATCGAATCGTAATCATTCATTATTGCGATTAAGAATTGAAACAGGGAATACATAAATCAGGATAAAATAATTAATTATGTTATGATATCCATCACTGATGCTTATAATATTTCTTTAACAATATTAGAATTAACTATATTTCGACCAATACTTTAAAAATTCTCCTTGTTAATTAAATCCTTATTAATTAAACAAGTTATGTATCACAACATGTAATTATTTTAATCTTTTAATCTTACGATACATTAATACGTTTGATATATGAAATACATTAATATGTTAAAATATTTCAACATTGAATTAACAACAATATAGTATCCGATATCAACAGTGCCGCCTTAATGATTTTGTTTTATGGTCTTATTATGCAAATTTAAATTTATATACCATATCACAAAATATATATTAAATTATATATATTATATTATATATAAAAGAAGTTATATATAATATAACCCTCCCATGGGGTACACCTTGTCGTGGTGGGAGGGCTTAGTACTTGGATGGTGCCTTGAGATTTGTTTTAAATTTTTCAATTTACGATAAATCTTATGGTGCCTGAAAGGGAAGCGAAGTACCCTTTCGCGTCGTCGGTACCGTCAACGTGCCGCGGACGGCTGCGCTTCGTTACCGCGTTTTCGCGTTGTAGTATTCTCGCGTCGTCGCGTTTTCGCGGAAATTTTGGACTTTTTCATATAAAATCCCAATTTCATTTATTGTCACGAGTCTCTACTTCCGATGCCAACTAACTGGGATGTTTCGAGTTTGCACACGTTGTTATGCAACGTACACTCGCGCTTCGTGCTTCGTACTTCGTCAAATGATTCGGCCCGAATTAGTTAGAACTCGATCGATTGCTCGGAATGGTCGTCAATGGGTCCCTTCTCTTTGCTCGTCTACCCTACAGCCACACGCACTGCGTGTGTTAACCCTGTCGAGGAGTCGAGTGGATTCCCCTAAGCATGATTTTCGCTCGGTAAAAGGGGTTGCCTCCCCATTTTTTAAATTGCTGAATGTTAGCATTTAAAAAATGTGGGTATCTTCTTCTTTTGCCGTCTACCAGCCTGGTGTAGCCATATCCTGCATTGCGGGAAACTTCGTGTTCCGGGCGAAGCACCTGAAATCATGCTTAGCGGGTCCAGGTTCGATACGAGATAGGATAATTATGCGCGAAAAAGAGCTGGTGAACTTTATTTTCCTCTATTCCTCAATCGTTTCGTCTTCTTTCCGGTTCGGGCCTAATCTTTGCTCGTTGTATCGTTGCACTCCCGACCTGTTGGCTCAAAGTTAAGTCTCGTAAATGAAATGAGATTTTCGCTCGTACCGAAACCGGGAGTGTCGTTGAAAGTATATATATATTAAATATATACATCGCGCGACCAAATTTTTAATCCGAATACCGAAGTAGTGCGGGAGTGCCGTTTAGTATCGCGCGTAAAATAACGAAAATAGCGATATAAAAATATCGCTCGTGAGTGCGGGAGTGCCGTTGAAAATATCGCGCGTCAACAACATGAGAGGAGGAGGAGGCCTGGGAGAGGCATCTTGCATCGGCGGAGCAACCTGATGGTGAATATTTATTATTTGTATATCAATTGTTATAAATCGTACACATAATAATTCGATCTTATTATTTAAATGAATTAAAGAGAAAATTAGAGAGAAAGATTTTTATAAAAGTTATATAAAACTTTTTGAAAAACTTTCTTAAAAAACAGTTTTAAAATTTTATAAAATTTTTCCACACACGTGTTTATCTCTGCTTATTATTTTACACATCGGATATAAAATTCCGCGCGATAAAAATTTTTTGAAATATTGATTGTATTTTGTGAGCATTAATATAAATGAATTTTATATTTGTATGTTACAGACAACGTAGCTTCGATAATTATAACTCCGCTGTTGCGCATCAGTGTCGGTGAGTGAGAAAAACTTTTATTTAACTTTAAGGTAACGGATTCGTAGAGATTGTAGATGTAGATTGTAGATTGTAGATTGTAGATTGTAGATTGTAGATTGTAGATTGTAGATTGTGAATTGTAGAGTAAGTCCGTTGCCTTAAAATGGATGAGCTAGGATAGATTAAATTAAATAACTTTTAATAAATTCTTTCGAAATGCTTTGCATCTATTGCGAAAATATATTGAAGTATTAATTTAAAAAAGAGAGAATCAAGAAAAGAAAATTTTTTTTGTAAAGACTTGACTAGTTTATTAAATCAGGAGCACGCATTAATAATTTTAACAATTTTATCAATTTTTGATACTACTTTATTCTTATAACGCGCACTTATTTTATTCTAATTTCTTATATCATAGCTCATCCATTGTAGAATTTGTTTGTAGATATTGTTTTTAAATTTTACTTTAACTTAAAATAAAGCTAAACGATTAATTAATTAAATACTTTGTAATATCATAAAAGTTATACACATACATGAATTTTATATTTTATTAGAAAATATAGTATATAGAAATTTGTAGTAATTTGGCTTTATTTGAGTTAAAATAAAGTTATATTCAAATATTTAAGAAACGATCGTAAAATCGAGCGATCGTTACGATGAGCGTGAAATATTTACGCTCATTTGCCGGTAATTAATCGGCAAAAGAAGGAGTGTTTATCTCCTTTTTCGATCTCTGATTAGAGATCGAGAAAAAAAAAGGATCAATGAAAGGTATATTCAACTAGCCTGAAGAGTACGATTAAGACATATGCGATTAGGGCACGCGGTTAGGGCACGCGGTTAGGGCACGCGATTAGGTATCGTGACTAAAATATATATAATTAGTACATAATATATACATAATTAGGTGAGGTGATGATTAGAGATAGGTTCCTCAAATCTCGAATAATAACAGTTAAAAATGTTTTTATTTCACAGCAGGCATTTTGTTTTGTAAATAAAATATATAAATATGACAATGAATATAGAAAAATATTTATTTCATCTTTGAACATTACATTGGAAGATTACAGTATCTTTCGCGATTGAATATTTTATCATTTTATATACATGAGTGTCTTGTTATACTCTGGTGCTACCGGCATTTCGTGCACATAGCACGGAACGAAACCAGAAATTGTGCACATTATACCATCTGAGAACATTCATGGACTTTGGCTTTGTAGTTATGTCCACATTTTCAATGTCCATAGAGGGAGTATCGCTTTCAGGGCTCACCTAAAAGCAGGCCATGACATCTCTCATTCTTCTCTCTGTTAATTATGTCTATATGCGAAACGTATTTCTGTCGTCTAAATTGTGGATGTAGCACGGACATGAACCAACTGACTGTTTTATCATGGCATCGTAAAATGGATGTGGCATTGTAGTTCTATTTCATGTCCACAGAGGGTGTATCGTTTTCAGGGACCCTAGAGGGGGCCATGACACCTCTCATTCTTCTCTCTGGGTTTACGATGTGTCTGTTTCATTTATACGGTTAGAAAAGCGAGAATGGAGGGTGAATTAAGAATTGTGGTGAAATGGAGCGGAAAAGAATACGATATTCTCGATATTCAAGAGGACGATACTGTTCTTACTTTGAAAGAGCGTATACATCGAGAAACGGGTGTTCGTCCTGAACGTCAAAAGCTTTTAAATCTCAAATTTAAAGGTTATGTTTTGAGAATTGTTTTCTGATTTTTCATCCGATAAATAATCGCTGTCGCACATTTTTAATAACATATTTCTCAATTTTTTTCATGTTTAAATGTCAAATATCCTGCTATTAATCGTTAAATTTTAATTACATTTTGTATCATTGTTATTTAAAATGTGACACTGTGTGTTATTTATTTGTATAACTTTAAAAAAGCTTTTCTCTTTTATTGTACGATATATCAAGTTTATAATTACATCTGGTTTCTCTTGATATAATTATTTTTTTAAAATTTTCATATTAATCGTTATTGTTGATGATCGAAGAAAGACTAGTGAAAATTCGTTATCTAACACAGTATAATTTAAATATACAATTTTCAAAAATGCCTGTAGAAAATTTTTTTTCCTCAGGCAAAGCAGTACAAGATGAGGATATAATTGGCAAGTTAAATTTGAAGCCTGGTTTCAAACTAATGTTGATGGGCTCGCGTGAAGAAGATATTGCAGAAGCCAGTCAAGCACCAGAGAATGTACCTGAAGTGATTAATGATTTAGATATAGAGGAAGAGGAAGTAGAAATCGAAAAGGCTGAAATAAATCTTCGTAAAATTCAAATACGTATTGATCGCTATGTGATTACAGAACTGAATCCTCTGAGGGAGGGTAAAAAGCTCCTTGTTCTTGACATAGACTATACTTTGTTTGATCATAGATCAGTGGCAGAAAGCGGATCACAATTAATGCGTCCGTATCTCCATGAATTCTTGACGCGTGCTTATAAAAATTATGACATAGTCATCTGGTCGGCGACTAGCATGAGATGGATTAATGAAAAGATGAAATTGTTGGGAGTTTCAAATCATCCAAACTATAAAATAGCTTTCCATCTAGATGTTCTTGCTATGATTACCGTCCACACACCGAAATATGGTGTCGTCGGAGTAAAACCACTAGGCATTATCTGGGGAAAGTACAAACAGTTCTCTGCAAAAAATACAATAATGTTTGACGATATCAGACGAAATTTCATAATGAATCCGCAATCAGGATTGAGAATAAAACCTTTTAAGCATGCTCACACCAGTAGAGTGAAAGACTTTGAATTGTTGAAACTGTCTAGATATTTGGAATTAATAGCAGAGATCGATGACTTTCAAACTCTTAATCATAGAAAATGGGAAGAATACAAACCCAAGAAGAAGAGCGACCAAACGAATGAACAAACCAGCAGCGATGAGAAAAGTTAAATATTGCTGAAACTAATAAGGGTGAATAATTTTTATATATTTTTTTTTCTAATAAAACCCAATGAACGATATAAGAATTGATGACTACAAAGAAGGAATACAAAGTTTCTGATGACTGTACATAATAAAAGAAAGACACAAAAGAATTTGAATTTGTCAGTTATTTTAAAATCATGACTAAGAAGCCAGGCTACAAGACTGTTCTCTATACATTGATGAGCACTTTTTTTGCAAGAGAATTTATAAGGTGTGATATATTAAACTTTTTGAAAATACACGTATTTTCACATGTTCTGTATATTTATGATATATTTATCAATTTATTGTACGTATATATAGGAGCCATTTAAATAAAGCGCACGAATGCTCAGTACAAGAATGAAATAATATATGTTTAAATGGGCATGTTATGTATGCAAAATTTTGAAAAAATATTCTCCATGTACATGTGTCTCGCAAGTATAAGTATCGGCAAATTTTGAGACGCGACGCAAAACGTTTGATTCTTTACGTAATCGTATTATACGCGTATTCTACTTATCTCATTAATACGTAATATTTCGCGCTGCAAATTGCAATTTCTATCTTACAATTAGATTAGAGTTTAGCAGACTCTATATTTAAACAATTAAAAAATTTTTATATGCCAAGTTTATAAACATTTAAACTATTTAATAAAATATTGTTTCCATTTCTCCATAAAAATTTAGAACGTTATAAAAAGGGGTGTATAAAATACAAGAAATGTACATGAAGATGTAATAAAGCTTATTTATCCGAAAATTAGATTTTTAATCTTGTGGCATCTCTTTGTAATTTTTCTAGAATTGTCAAATTTATATGATAAACATATGTTCTGAATATATTTGCGATAAAAACACGAGAGACTATTTATATAAGTATAAGTATAAATTTGTGTTCTTTATAAACCCTTTTTTCAAATTCTTTTATATGTACTTATTAATTATAATATCTTTTATATATATTTTATGTATTTCTATACAAATGTAAAATTAAAAAAATACTGTTATAAAAAAGATATCAAGAATAGTTGTCTCTAATAACACTATGTAAGATACTAATTTATTTTTGATACTATTTTATATTTGTAGTTACATTTTTGTATCTACATTATACAAAATACACACACACACACACACACACACACACATATATATATATATATATACATATATATATATATATATAGCAAAATCTTTTATACACATCTATTATCTTATTAGCAATATTAGGATAAAATTTCCACACATAAAATTCATTTAAAACATTTATTTTTATTAATATGTCTAAAAGGATTACATTAGAAAAAAATATTCGCTCGTAAACATATGAAAAAGGAAAGCTCCCGCTTCAATTATTCATATATCACCAATCGGGTCAAGAATGACTCTGTAATCATACGATTGAGAGGCTTGTCGAAATATCGAGCGATTGACTTTGTGTTGTCGTGCCCACGTGAAAAATAACAGAATTGTATTATTTCTCACACTCGAACGATCGCTCGTCGCTGTCGTTTTTTACATTCTACATCGAAAAGTAAACTTCGCTAAAGTGTCAGCAACGAACGTCACGAACAATATGGCGAACGTTCAGTTGTAGGCGGATATTTTGCTTGACGCGGAAACGTCACACATGCTGTCGGATAGCTGTCAAATTTTGAGAGAAGCAAAAAATGGAGTTGTTTCGCACTGACACTCATTTTATCTTTGTAAAGGAGAAATATAGCCTCTGGTGTGACAAGTATACTGGCGAATTTGCTGCGAAATCGGGTGAGTAATGCGTACAATTGCATTTGACAGATAAGTGAGCGTCACTCGTCAAGAGATCGACATGTAGACATTGTCTGAATTTTCGAGACGCGAATTAATTTCATTTCTTCCAAGGGTACATTACTATGCAAAGATACATATGACATTTCCTGATTCATACATATTTAATAAAAAAATGCTACATGTGTGTATTTATGTATATTTAAGATTTAATTATGATAGCTTATCAATTATTATTATTATTGAGAATGACGAATTTTGCAGATTGGGAGTGGGCTACGCCAAAAGATTTAGAATGTCTGGGAATGTTTTATGGAATAGTAGGAAAAATTGAACAAACATCAGTATTAGAACCTCGCTTGATGCTTATAAAGGATATCATACCAGTGGGAGAACTACACGGTGATCATGTTGTTTACAAAATCAAATCTATCGCGTTTTTACATCTTGGTACAGATAATGGGGATATTGGATTGTTACCTTGTAAGAAACATCAATATTCATTGAAGAAAAAAGGTAGTGGATTGTTTGATGTGCCACAAAAGGCAGCCTTGGCAAAAACCTGGGGTACAATTAAGAATGCCACAAATACTATAAAAAATACCACACAGCAGGCTGCTGCGCTAGCTACATCTCAAGTAAGGGATCTAAGTTGTTAACATTGTGTAATTTATTTGATATTTCATATATAAAACTTATATAATATTTCTATAGGTGAAATCTACAGTAACAAAACGGAGCATAGTGAAGGACAAAGAAAGATTTGAGAAGAGAATATTGGAAGAATTAAATAAGATATTTACTGAAACTGATTCCTTCTTTTTTTGTCAGACTGGTGATATCACTAATAGCTTGCAACGACAATGTATAGCAGAATCTCAGCAATGCAATCAGGATAAACCACTATGGCAACGAGTGGATGACAGGTTCTTCTGGAACAAACATATGTTACACGATATTATTAATTTAGATGTTAGTATTTCTATAAAATTTTATTATACTATCACAACTGAGATTCTACACAATAAAATTATAAAAATTAGACATATTTGCTTAAATATTTTAGTAATTCTATTAATTGCATGTGATGATAAATTTGTTGCATATAAAATCAATTTATTTTTATTTGTTCAATAATTTGTTCAATAAGCAAGTAAGTGAATTATCCAAAATCAGTTGTACAATCATCAAAGATCACTTGCAATTTATGTAGCATGTTTACTTATCCAAATATATCTATTTTGCAGAGAGATAAAGCAAACTGTTGGATATTACCAATCATTCAAGGATATGTTCAAATAGAAAAATGTATAGTTGAAGTGGGTTTTGATGGGCAACCGCAACAGGAGATATTTAACTTAGCAATAATATCAAGAAGAAGTAGATTCCGTGCTGGGACCAGGTAACTATTGTTATATAGATTGCTTAGATAATTGATGCTCATAACTTTTATATATATATATATATATATATATATATATATATATATATATAATCTCATATATTAAATTAAATTTTATTTTATATAACATTTAAAGACAAATTGTTTCTATAGAGAATTAGAAATATAAGGAAAAATATAAGAAAAAGAATTATAATATAAACGAGCGATAAGAGCCTAAAAACGCGGATGGTATTGCGTAAATTTTTTTTTTTTTTCAAACATTAATTGCTCGCGAAAAAAAAAAAATTTTCGCGAACAATTAATATTTGAAAAAAAAAAAAAAAAAAAAAAAAACGCAATACCATCCGCGTTTTTAGGCTCTTATCGCTCGTTTCATAATTATCATGTTGTTAAATACATAGAGCCGTATTCTTGATCAATTTATTAATTATATTAATTATTATGAATAATTCTAAATGCATTATAGATATAAGAGACGCGGAGTGGACGATGATGGAAAATGTGCAAATTATGTTGAAACTGAACAATTAGTTTGGTACCATGATCATCAAGTATCCTTTGTGCAAGTACGAGGTAGTGTGCCAGTATATTGGTCACAGCCTGGATATAAATATAAGCCTCCACCGCGAATTGATAAAGGTATGTAAGTAAGGAAAAGATGTATTTTTTGCATATTAGATCATTCGCAGAATATATTCCAATAATAATGTCATAGATGAGGCTGAAACACAAATAGCATTCGAAAAACATTTTGGTGAAGAACTTGCATTATATGGGCCTATTTGTATTGTTAACCTGGTTGAACAGTCTGGCAAAGAAAAGATAATCTGGGAAGCTTATAGTAATCATGTGTTTAACTATAATCATTCAGATATTACATACACTACCTTCGATTTTCACGAATATTGGTAAATATTCTCAAGCATATTCATAATACTAAATCCTTATGCTTATTGTTTTCATTATGAATTATGTTATATCTCGAAAATTTTGTCTCTAATGCAGTCGAGGAATGCATTTCGAAAATGTATCTGTTTTGGTTAATGCATTGGCCACATTGCTAGCAGATATGGGTTATTGCTGGCGCGATAAACAAGGTATGATTTGCATGCAAAAGGGCACATTTCGTATGAATTGCATAGATTGCTTAGATAGAACAAATGTGGTGCAAACTGCTCTGGGTAAAGCCGTTATGGAAATCCAATTTTCAAAACTGGGACTAATACCACCTGATGGAACTTTACCTACAAACATAAGACAGACTTTTCAATCACTTTGGGCCAATAATGGGGATATTATTAGCAAGCAATATGCAGGAACAAACGCTTTAAAGGTCTGTGCATTTCAAACTGCTTGTGTCAAGTTTCATGTGTTGAATAAAAACAATTTAATTTTTACAAATAATTTCTGACATATGATTTTTTGTTGTTTATTATAGGGAGACTATACGCGTACCGGCGAAAGAAAATTTACTGGGTTGATGAAAGATGGCATGAATTCTGCAAACAGGTATAATATATATCAATCTCTTATCACTCTGTATTCGCTTAATTCTCCTTCATTTTTCATTTTTTATTTCCCCTTTATTTCCCATCTTTATTTCCAACATGACACAGAACCTCACAGTTATCATGCCCCTTTAAAAAAAAATCCGGGTCCTCAATAAACCACGTTGTGTTTTACCAGGACCCTGACATTGTCCTTTCATTTTCCGATAGATATTATCAGCAACACTTTATGGACGACTTACGTCAAGCAGCGATAGATACGCTGCTAGGGAACCCAATCGACGTTGATCAACTGAACAACGATTGGTTACACTATTTAGATATCTTTGATAATTGCTGTCTCGAACTTATACCTATGAAACCACCAAATATACAACTTCAACTTGCTACTCATCCTGACTTTCTTTATGCCACTGCCCTATATAATTTAGCAAGGTTCGTTGTGCTTGCTTGTAACTTCACTTTTGGCAAATGTATGACAGTATCTTACAAAGCTTTCAAAGCTTAATTTATGATTAAATTTTAGTCTATTGTAAGCTAATTCATATATAAAAAGATATGTTCTGTGTTAATGTCAGCATGAAAAGTTCTTTTGCTACAAAATTTCTTTTGCATGTCTAACCTTGGCTCTATACTGTCCCTCTACTTTATGAAAGAATATGAAGATGATTTTTAATCAAATAGTCAATCATATTTATAAAAATGCATTATCACTTAAATTAAACATAAAAAAGTTGCTTTCTCTTTCTGTATATATTGTATATATAGAGAGAATATCTCTACGATCTATTAAATATATACTTCTATTACTTCTTCTAAATGATATTTTTTCTTCACATTTTCTTTCTAAAAATCATTTCTTAATTTTTAGTACAGCCATATAATAAGAATCAAAATATCTTTGCAGATACTACTTGAATCGCTTCAAAGATGTCTACAGGCAAGCAACAATTGATATGATGTTGGGAAATTCGGTAAGCGAAGAAGTATTTTTAGAGCGTACAGATGAAGAAGACAATGCGGCGACTGCGATTCATGTGAAACTGCTAATTGAAGACTGCAAAAAGTTACTAATACCTGATCCCGAAATTATCTTAGGCAGTTGGGGTGTTATTGATGCCGATCCTGTGTATGTAGCAAATGTTTGCTATGATATATTTCTTATATGTAATTTATATCTCAATCAAAAATTTCTTATTTTTATTTTAGTACCGGTGACCCTACTGAAACAGAAATGGATACTATTCTAATATTAACTCGAGATAGTTATTATATAGCAGACTATGACGATCAAATCGATAAAGTTACAAATTACCAAAGAATTCCGCTAAATGATATCGTCTTAATTGAATTTGGTCAGCCCGAAAATACGGTTTCGTTCTTCAAAAATAAGCATTATCACTGTATTAGAATCAATTACAAGATGAACGGCGAATATGGTTACTTTCACATGTTCCGTAGTACAAATTTAAGATTTTTCAATAATATGGCAGTTGTGATTAAAACTGAGGAAGAAAGCATAGGTAGGACATATATATGTATGTATTTATTTCCTTATAATAAATAACTTTCATGATATTTTCATTAAATTTTCAGAATCTTTAAAAGCAATTTGTGAAGCTATTTCTGTAGCTATGGAAATTACAGGCTTACCAAAGGTCCCAATAGCTATGAATGTTACATTAGATAAAAGAAAGAGTAAATTAGTGAATGTTAAAGGCTCTATTGGATTGCTGGACATTTCATCATTTCCAGAATTGACAAGAAATCTATCCGAGACACAATTACTTGCTTTAAAGACAGCAGGTTTGTTAAATTATTTTGAAATTATTTGTGTATATTGTATTTGATGAATAAAATTTTATAAATATTTGTTTAGGTACAAAAGCTTTAAACAATATGTCAGAACAATTTAGCAAATTGAACAAACTGAGTCAGAGTTTTAGCACAAAGAAGCCAATTGATTTGGCAAAAAATATAGGTAACAAAAAGACAGAAGAGTTATCAAAACCGATTTTTACAGTCGGTAACAGAGATATTTCAGGCAATGTGAAAGAAAAAACTTGCAGTAGTAGCAGTAGCAGCGATGAAAATATTGAAATGGCACATATACATGTCAAAAAGCCAGTGAACTTTAGCCACGACAAGCATTTAATGGAAGCTTACACTCCAGTAATTGGTATTATTATGGGTGTGAAAAATTCTAACGTTATGGACGGTGACATTTGCGAGACCAGCGTGAACGCGGGATTACCTACCAGGCATATCATGAATTCAGATTTGAAACCCGACATAGCCATCGATGCACTGCACTTAATACCACAACATGGTTCTGGTACCAGCACTCTCAGTGCTTCGCCACAGAAAACTACAGCAACCACGCCGGAGATAACGATATACGACGTAGGGGACAGCATACAAGGGGGAAAAGAACGGATGATTCCACTGTCAACTTTGACACTTTCCAAGAATATCAGTCATTCGACGGGGGATGTTGAAAATAAAACATTATCATCCAGTGTCAAAAGCGCTACTCTTCAAACGGACAATAGATTAGACGAGAAGAAAAGATCAGCTTCTGAACAAGATTTGACATTGAATATTACGTCATCCCAAAGTGAATCTGCCTTAAAATCCATAAAAGGGAATATCGCGAATGTTACTAGTCCAGTAACATCCACGGCCAAGGATATCTTATTACCATTCTCAAAATTTGCTAAAGGTGTTCAAACATTAGGAGCTAATTTAGATCCTAGAAAGCTGAAGACAGGCCACGTAACGCGAAATTTGTCGGAACATCAGATGGAAGAGCGCCAAAAACTTCAAGAAAAATGGGCCTCCTGTCAATCTAGACTTATTGCTTTATAAATCTTTACTACTTGAATGATCAGCTTTCCGAATACAATTCGTCATTGAATATCAATTTAAGGCTTATTGATATTGTTTATTCATAAATATTATAGATAATATTTATGAATATATAATTTTAGGAATTTTTAGTACATATATTAGTGATGCAGATGCTATTATGCACTTTAAAAAAGAAAGCGAAAAGGAGAATAAAGTATTATTAGATTGTACTATAGACAATTTTGCTATATAGATTGCATAGAGAGAGTTGAGTAACGCGAGAAAAAAAATATCACGTAGAAGGTAATGAATAATTTCGACCACATTTTATAGGAAATATAAATCGATCTCACTGCACCTATTTCACATGTCACAGATATAGCTGTGAAACAAGATTATTCACTATAGAAAAGAAAATTTCTATATGAAGACAAATTAAAAACACAAAGTACAACATGGTCAATATTTATTCATAGTTAATTGATTTTATAGATTAATACTGACTATATATATGTAATTTCTGTATTGTTAGAAAATTGTGCCACCTTTTAACATTATTTTCTTGATCGTGAATCATTCTATATGAATTTTGCTACATACTTGCATACATTTTTTGAATATATATTTACAACACTTTTAATATAGCAATTTTCTGAAATAAATCTAACGCGACCAATTTGGATTAAAAAAGTATGCAAACATTTTTTAAGGGATTTAAAAATTAAAAAAGGGCCTTATTCTTACTTTATAACTAAATTTTCTTTTATTTCAGCATTAAGATTTCTTTTTTTAATAGAAATATTTTATTTAATTGATAAATCTGTGTATAAATAATTTTATACTAAACAGATCAATAATTTAAAATGCAGATGAGACGATTTATTTGTACAGAAAGTTGAAGAAAGATTTTATAGTCAATTATGTAAATAAAGAGAATTATTTAAATATAGTTTATAGTAAAAAATACATATATAATGACAATGATAAAAAATGTGTTTAAGACATTGGTTATTAAAAAGAAAAACAGATATAATTATTGTTCCTGTTAGTTTTTTGAGAAATGTATGTTAGAATTTTTTTAAATAATATATAAATATGTTTTACAATGAAGAAGATAAATAACAAAGAGAAAAATTAAAAGTTTTTATTGAATAAAAGTCCATTATTAAAAGGATTAAATTATAAAAGAAATTCGTAAATGTGGTGCAAAATAATTTTGATATAATTTAAACATATAATAACAAGAGAACTGAATATATAGCAAGTTCATGTATTTATAATCACGTTTGTGTATTAATATTTTTATTTGATGCTTCAATAATTGTTACGAACTATTTTAAGAACTATAACAAACATACAGTATTAAATCGAGTGCGATATGCTTATAAAACAATGCGAAAAACGTTTTCCTTTGCGTTTACGTAAAAATCAATTATATAAGAAGATTAGTTTACCTAATCTTCTATAAAGAATAAACATAAAGCAAACCTTATATTTATTATTTAGAAGAGTTGTAACATGACTACATTGCCCATTGATGTAAATAATTATCTCATTCCGATGTCCGACTCATTTATGGAAAAGCATCAACATTATATAGTGATCCTAAACTCGTATTTTTAGCGAATATTCTTTTTGACTGTGAACAATAGTCTGTGATACAATCTTATAGAATGCAGACAGGTCGGACTCATGAACAGAGTTTAAGAAATGTACATTCTGAAAAACATTTAGCAATGCTTTAGGATAAGAAACTAGACTGTTTTAACATGCGCTCTTAAAAGATTTTAAAATTTGTTTCACATTAATATTATTAATTTAAAAGTTTTAGAAAAATCTTAAATTTGAATTTTATATAATCATTTAAGTTAAATGATTATTGCAATGTGAGGTCCTTATGCAACTTTATCGAATCTGTGTGTTGCACACTTAATTATGATATTATAAATAATTTGTAAAAAATAGATGAATGGATAAGAACTTACGTTCTGATATCTTGAATTATTGAAATAATTATCGAAATTGACAATTTAAAAAAAATATTTTATTTTTATTCTTATAAAGCAAAATAATTTTTAAAATCTTTCTCCTTTTTATAACAAATAAAAATTAAGATATGTACGTAAATATTACAATTAATTTTTAAGTTCATCTATTTCTTGTGAAATAAGAACTCGAATTAGAAAAATCCTGTGTGGAGCTTGTAGAGACTCTATATGCCTTACACATATTCTGCTGTTTCCAGGAAATTATAATAAGAAAATTTGCATCAGTAAACATTGATAGCACTTGTAGACTAAATAATCACAATAAAACACATTTGGCTTGTGCGTGTAATTAAATTCTATTCAAATTTCTCAAGTAGACCAATCTTTTGTAAATTTATAAAGATAAATTCTTTTGGTAAATACTAAGATAAACTCAATTTTAGAGAAGTAAGAAATTAATAAAAAATTTTATTCTTCAAGATATAATAAAATTTTTTATTTTGTTTATAACGTAATTAATTTCAATATGAATATTTAAAATCACTAATTCAACTTTATCAAAATCAAGCAGTTGTATTTAGCGCCAAATTGTTTTACACGAAAGATAAGAATTGTTTTTGCCATCTGGTAGTAAAATTGGGAACTCGTATATAACGCATTTGATGCGAAATAAAAACAGAACAGGTAAAAATAGCATGTGTAAAGAAGCCGGTATATGGATTTAAACTTTTACAATACATACAATACAATACAATCATACAATAGTATAATAAATTATTGATATATGATGATAAAATGGATGATACACGTGGTGTAGTGTGTTTATGGGGAGATCTCAAGAATCATCCACAATGCCCTCATGGTAACTATCCCATATTTGTGTGAATATTGAGAAATTTTTATATCAGAAATTATATTTCTTTCAAAAAAATTATCTTTTATAGGACCAACATTGCTATTTGGTACATATGTTGATGGTGAATTAAAGAAATTTTATGCATGCTCTGCTTGTCGTGACAGGAAATTATGCAGATTCTATTTAGAGTATGGGCAAGAACTGTCCAAATCTCGCAAAAATATATGGGAACAGGAAAAGAAAAAGTTTACTCAGCATTATCCTCATCAAAAATTGTATATTCGTTTTAACGAGATCAAAGCAAAATCCGTGATAATGAGATGTTATTGCCATAATTGCGAGAGATTAATTTTCAGTTCTGAAAAAGATAAGCATGTTGAGCATGATATTGCAGAGAATTTAACAGATCATCAATTGCATCATCCTACAGAGCTTCTAAAACCTCTAGATAATGCAAAGAAAGAAGCGCAATATTTATTTTCTAAGAAATCTACAGAGGACATAACAAAGATGCTTTTAAAGCTTGGAGCTAAGCAGATTCTTTGTATTGGAACGCCAAGAATACATGAATATGTAACTGAACATTATATAGACAAAATGTCTTCTCTTCTCTTAGACTTTGATGGAAGATTTGTAAGTATAACAAGTAAATTGTTATATTAATTCATAATTCATTTTAGTAAGTAATAATTTTAATACATATATTTTAATATAATTTTTATATACAATTGTAGCATAATTTTTTTGGACCACTGGATTATTGTTGGTACAATCTTTTCAATCATCACTTTTTTAACAAAGATGCTATTAATGTGTTCAAAGATTTTCTCACTCAAAATGAAGGAAAGGATACTTATTTAATATGTGATCCTCCATTTGGAGGTCGTTTGGAACCCATATCTTATACAATAAAAACAATATTTGACCTGCATAAAGAATTAAATAATAATAATTATTCTTTGAAGATTATGTTTATCTCTCCATATTTTATGGAAAATATAATGAGAGAAAAGAGTAATCCACCATCGATAGATGGTGGCTTGAAAAATTTGACAATGTCTGATTATAAAGTGGATTATGATAATCATCCTTTGTTTGTGTCAGATAAACAAGGTAAAAAACTTGGTTCCCCAGTAAGAATCTTCACGAATATCCCATTAAAGTTACTGGAGCTTCCTATATCTGATGGATATAAATTTTGCAAAGATTGTGAAAAATGGGTGTCTAGTGAAAATAAGCATTGTAAGAAATGCAAGGAATGTACTTCTAAAAATGGTCATACATATAAACACTGTAAAATATGTAAACGATGTGTAAAGCCTACTTGGAGGCATTGTAAAACATGTAAAAGATGTATGTTAGAGAAACATACATGTGGCCAAATTCCAAATATTATAGGAAAATGTTTTAAATGTAATGAATTAGGTATGTATCAATATATATTTCAATGTGTATTTCATATATATCACGTATCAATATATATTTCTAATATTTCTAATTGTTACTCCTGCTAAGTAATTTAAATACTTTATTAAATTATTTATAGGTCATACTGAAAAAGAATGTCTCAATTTACTCTCTAGTGAGAGCATAACTAAGACAGATGTAAAGAAAGATAAAAGAGTTGAGAAACGCAAAGCAGAAAATGAATTTAAGAAATCTTTAGCTAAAAAGAGTAAAATCGAACATTCAAAAGAAGTTATTAAACAAAATGTTCCCATTAATAGAAAGAAAGTTTTAAAATTAAAACAGACTAAAAAGAAATTCTCAAGAATAAAAAAATGATAAATAAAATGAAGAAAAGAAATGCAAATTTATATTATGTGTTTATGTATAATAAGTATTAAATTTCCATTCCATATTTGTTATTCAATCTTATCCGATCAAGAAAGCTGGAAATTATAGCTTTGCAATAATATAAACAGTTTCTTATTAAATATCATTTACTATTATTTGCACAATTATAGAATTTTCGTATTTAGTAGAATATTGTATCATGAATGGAAATCTAAATATTTAATAGAAATTTCGAATATAAAGATTCAAAGATATGAAAAACAGAATTTTTGGAAACATAAAGTTCTATGAAATATTTAACAAAAATTTCATTAAAAAAATGTTCATAAATGTATATAAATATTTTAATCTAAATTTCAGAATGTCTTTATCTATAATTAGTGATTTGCTTGTTTCTAATTGTATATGAACTAGTTTTATATTAATCTTTGTATCAATTTTTTTATTTATTAATTATTCATAGCATATTGAAAAGAAATGTTTCTTGTTTAAAAAAGTCTACTTTTATGTATTCTAACAAGTTTATCGAATCAGCGCAGCCAGCTATCGAAGATTTGAATTTTAGCCAATCGGCTTGAAGATGCGAAGGAATCGCGCGAAATTTGCCAAAAGGCAGCCCCTGCTTCTCCAACTCCAACGATCGGGCACAAGGATTCAAAATCGCTCCAAGTTCAAGTTTATGCAAATCATCGAGAATACTTTCCCTTGGAAAATCCCTGATGAAGATGGGCGTCCGCGCGCATTCGAAATCCAGCAAGATTTTCGACTTCTGTTCAGCTCGTGCTGGGATTTGAAGGATGGCCTCCCCCTTGTCGCGCTTGACGTTTTTGGCGAGAGACAGCTCGAAATTGTCATCGCGACTCGCGACGATCGTGCTCGCCGAGCGAAGCGAAGCGAGGATCCGGGTGTTCCATTCGCATCAGCATCAGGGTGGAAGGGTGCTCGACAGGAAACCGAGGGTGTTCTTAACCTGTACCGCGCTTATCTCGGCGGTAGGTCTCGGCTATGTCTTGTATAAGTGGAAAGATGACATACGGCAGAGAATCGAAACTCTGGCCGTCCCTAATTGTCCTGTCATTCATGCCATTTCATTGCCACCGTCCCATGGTCAGAACAGGGATAAGTACAATTTTATAGCGGACGTGGTGGAAATATCTGCGCCATCCGTTGTTTACATCGAGATCAAGGACAACAGGATGTAAATATGAATACTGATTACACATTATGTAATTTAATCACGGAAGTAATCCCCATCATTTTTCTATAGCTTCCAGGTTGATAGGAAGTTTGAACATTTTGCAATCAATTCATCAAGCCATTTTCTTATTTTCTTAATATTTTTAAATTTTATGTCAGACAAGGTGTGCTTTATCGATTGGAATAAATAATAGTTTGAAGATGCTATGTGAATATGTCAGAGTGAAAGAAGAAGAATTGCCACCTAAGTTCCATTAGTGTACCTTTGATCAATTTTATCATATGATGCCAAGCAAGATAAATGAGTGATTTATTATGAAGTATTTGAACTTGACGGAACAGAATTGCAGATTGCTATTGTCATCAGTTACTTCATTTGAGTAAAAAATTAAAAAAAAAAAGATTCTTTATAAAAAAGATTATATGCATTTTAATGATCAGGCTTCCTATCAATTTAAAATCTATAATTTAAGGATGAAAAAGGTACTGAAAAATGATGGCGATTATTTTTATAAATGATTATTGTACACATATATATAATTTGTTAATAAACATACAATTTTATCAAAAATAGTGAAAAACTTATTTATATATCTAATATATCTATGACAAACACATACTAATTGATGTTTTTTCTTTTTTATGCATTAGGATAGACTTCTTTACTGGGAAACCAGCTACCACTAGTAATGGATCAGGATTTATTGTTAGTCAGGATGGTTTAATACTAACAAATGCTCATGTTGTAGTAAATAAACCCAATACGACAGTCAAGGTAAATGTGAGTCCTGTGGGAGTCCCATTATCCTTTCTAAATATCCTGTCACAAGTAACAAATAATTGTTTACACCTTATAAGTATTTTGAATCTTATGTGTTTAAATTTATGTATTTAATTTTATTTAATTATTATATTTGAAAGTTTGATTTGATAAAATTCATATTATTTATTATAAGTGTTGATTTGTTATTCTGTTTCAAATTATTGTGTGCCTCTTATTTTCTTGCAGGTGCGGCTTCATGACGGTAGTATATACACTGGTGTAATAGAAGATGTTGACTTGCAAAGCGATCTAGCCACTGTGCGAATAAATAAGGTATATGTAATGAATATATAAATTTTATTTATTGAAATATCTATTATACAATTGTTAACTTTATTACAATTGTTTGCTTTTATATATTATTGCAATTACTAATTTATGTATTACTTGATTGCATAGACCAATCTGCCTGTAATGAAGCTTGGTTGTTCGGCCAATATCAGGCCAGGAGAATTTGTAGTGGCTATTGGTTCTCCACTAGCTCTTAGCAACACTATAACAAGTGGAGTAGTAAGCAGTGCAAACAGACAAAGTGAAGAACTTGGCCTACCTAATCCACGTATGGAATACATTCAAACGGATGCAGCGATTACTGTTAGTTTTCAATAATTGTTCGTTTTATTATAAATACTAGATATTTTATCTAGATCTTTTATCTTTAACAATTAAACTTTTTTCTAGTTTGGAAATTCGGGTGGACCGTTAGTAAATTTAAATGGGGAAGCAATAGGGATAAATGCAATGAAAGTAACACCTGGAATTTCATTTGCCATACCTATAGATTATGCAAAAGAATTCTTGAAAAAAGTGGAATTACGAAAGAAAACCAAAGGTAATGTGAAATATTTTTTTACTCCATCAATGTAATGTAAGGAAGATATTATTTTTAAGGAAGAGATTATTTTTGCAGGCGTGACGTCTCAACAAGTACCTAGGAGAAGATATGTAGGCATTACAATGCAAACTTTGATGCCAGACACCTTACTTGAAATGCAACAATATAAAGAATATATGAATGTCAGGCATGGAGTTCTTGTATGGAAAGTAATGCTTAAATCTCCAGCTCATAAGTAAGTATAAAAAATTTCCCTATTATGACTTTAAGTTATCATACGAGAATTTATTAATTAATTTAAAAATCGAGTTTTTAAAAATATACGTATATATCAAAAAATAATATGAAATTTTAGTAACAAGTTACTAAAATTGTTTTTTTATAAACTAAGAACCAAGTTTTTTATAAACTAAGAACCAAATAATAGATAACAAAATACATAGATAAAATAGATAACAAGAAAAAACATACAAATGAAAAAATACATATAAAAATTGATAATATGACAATATTCAAATAAACTTTGAGACATAAATAAATTATAACAAAATAAATTATAAATAAAATAAAATAAAAACATTTGATTACAATAATATTTAATGTTGAAAAAATTATACCAACATATTGTAATGTGAAATATATATAAAAATATGTTAATATCGAAAACTTTTAAAATTATCTTATTATTTACAGTGCTGGATTGCAGCCTGGAGATATAGTGACTCATGCCAATGGCAATCCTGTGACAAATTCAAGTAATATTTATAAGATTTTAGAACAACCAGGACCAATAAAATTCCAAATTTTAAGAAAAGGAGAAATTATATATATAACAGTTGAACCCGAGGATTTATAGCTCTGATTGAGAAATAAATAATATGAAAGGTATATATACGTTATTTGTATATTATGTATAATATACAAATTCATTTGTTGCCTATTTGTTTAAAAGTGTACTCTATATATGTATATAATATCTATATATAAATGTACACACATACATACACTTATTACATTAGATACATATATTATATAGAGTTATTTTTAAGTACCAAAAATTAAAAAGTATTTCCTTAGATATAATTTTAGGAAGAAAAATTTATATACGTTTTTGTGTTATAAATGATTTAGTTCCAAAGATACAAGGTATTCAATAAAAAAAATATTTTTAATATTTCGAGTTTTTTTTCTGTCAAAAAATCCGATCTCAATAATCTTACTTATATATCATTGATGATATCAGAATTTCTCAATTATAAGACATTAACCCAGTAACTATCACTAATACACAATAAGTTTCAAAAAAATGAATTTAGAATTGTCTTCAAGATTGTAAGAATATATAATTTTTTTTACTAAGTCTTTATGAACAAAAGTATATATAAATTTTTCTTCGGAAAATCACCTAAGAAATTAATACTTTTATAATTTTTGGAATGTACTTAAAGATCAGCCTGTACATATATTATCCTTCAATGTCGAGTGTTGTTTAGTTATTAAAAAAGCCTACAATCGGAAAAAAGCAAGAATCATCGTTTATCGTTTAGCGCCTCTTGCAATTGGTGGACCGGTTCATCAGTCACACCAAGCCTCCAGTATACACGCCTTTTGGTTGTACAATCGTTTTAATTTAAATATACACGATAAAGGGCTACTTAGTGGCTTATGAAATTTATCAGGCGTTTATTTATCTATTTTATCCGCCGGCATTTTTCGATCACTGCGAAAAGCGATGTCGCGTGATAATCTTGCGTCGAGTCCTGCGATATGTATACATATGCGAATACACACCATATAACGCGTATGTTAGTGTGTATATACGCACCGGGTGTGGCTCATTCGTGGCTCGACTGCATTATGTTTATGTTGTTTACGACGTAAAGCGACCTGCGCAAATATGTGACTGGATCTCGTGGCGGAGGATGCTGCGAGTTGCGTGGGTGGTGGTCCTTCGCATACGGGGCTTCCATCAACGGCGATTTTTCCGCGGGAAGAGACAGAGAAGAGGAGATGGCGAGAGGATTTTACTGTCCGCGGACGCGTGTATCTTGTTGGAATTCTAAAGAGTCGTTCCATCGAGATATAACTCTAAACGTTCGCGTCGATCCGCCAGGATCTATAAAAGGAGGAGGAACAAGTGATAATGGCGGCGACTTGATGATCTCTCTTTGCGCATGTAAGAGATACCATTGATATCCGATGTTGCGTACGATAAATGATAAATCATCATGAGTAACTTTGCATCGATGACAGAATGATAAAGATAGAATTATAATAGTTAACATTGAGATGACAAAATATTTGACGAATTTGGTCATTAGAGTATTCCTTGTCAAAACTTGAAATAATATGTTAAAACTGATAAAATTACGAGACTATATATATATAACGCCTTAACTTTTCGTCATTATAAAAGAATCATTTTAGGCTTCAAAGATATGAATAGGTAATTAAACCTCCTTTTTAAGTTATTACATAACTAACTTTTGGAATAACTTCCTGAGGAGTTTTATCTTTGTCATAACTTGTGAAGAAAATGGCATTGAAAGAAAATCGACAGAAAAAATTAATTCCATGTTTTTGATGAGGAATATTCTATTTTATAGAATTTTAAATAAACAAACATTGTTTATATAAAACAAAAAATCAATTGTACAAATAATTCATCCTTCTGATATCAATTCTATCTCGACAAATACACATGTAATAACGTTGCGGAGATCATCATAATTTTGTAATCGCGAGATGAGATGAGATGAGGTCCCGTATATTGTTGCGATGGAAAAAGATCAACGAGAGGGAGAGAAAAGGAAAAAGCGTCGGCCGGTGCGTTACTTTGAAGTCACACCGAGCCGCAAAAGGTTAAGGAAATAAGAGGTGCCTTGACCTACGATACGCGAGGAGAGCAGCGTGAGCGAGCGCGAGTATAATCGAATGTTTCTGCCGACCGTGTTCACGGTCCGGCCATTATCGTCTCTCCCGTATTCCGTCCTCCTCTCCCTGCGCGATCTCTTCCCCTCAACCTCTCTCATTTTTCTTCTCATCATCGCGCTCTTCCCGGCCTTCGCCGCTCACATCGACACGCGGGAGCCTATTCTCTGATTATCCACGCTTTCGCGGCTCTTCTCGCCTACAGGTACCGATGACGTCCCTCTCTCCCACGTGTTGCTGATGCTGCTGCTGTTGCTGTTGCTGCTGCTGCTGCTAATGCCGCTGGTAGCGTATAATGATGAAGAAGCAAATAGACGACGGATCCTGCGAACACGAGATCACCGGCGAGTGCGGACGAGATATTCTAAGATATCGCGCCCACGTTCCAGCCGACAGTCACCTCGCGACCGCGGTGCGGACGATGACCGGAAGCGGACAGAATCACCTGAAAGGTCACGGGCCGCCGTTACCTACCTAGCGCTCGAAAAGGAGGCGTGTCCTGGTCGTCGGATCTGTCCCGCGAAACGGTACCCCACGTTGTGGGTGGAATGAGGAAACGCGAGATCCTTAGAAATTGGCAATAAATGCGTCCCGTGAGAGTTCTAAAGGCTACATCCGGGTCGTTAGAGCTTCTCGAGTATGATCGCGCTCTCCTTAAAGGAATTTAAGATTAAAAATTCACTCTAAATTGACGCGTGGAACAAACGTGGCGTGAATTAAAGGCCGTTGCACGTGCTGTTTATAAAATTCAGAATAACACCGGTGAAGGTAACTGACCGCGCATCGTATTATGGAAGTTGTATTTCCTGCTTATCGTAACGTTCCTATTTATATCGCGTTTGTGCACTAGGGTGGCATAACAAAAAACCCTCGAGTACCAAGCCGAGATCGAACGCGATATTCTGTGGATGCTATTATATCCGCCTACGTTTTCTTCTATTCCGATATTTTCATTGTGATACCGCCGATGGGATCAGAAGAACGAGAAATTTCCGCAAAGTTCGAAATTAAATGCTAGATTCGCGAAAGATTATTCTCATCGGAACGATTTTCTTTAAAGAGAGACTGAATATGAAAACAGAATTAACGTGATTAAATTATAAAAGATCTAATTCGAAGATTTTAGCACATTTTTGAAATCTTAAAAGTGACTTGTCAAATTTTTATAGAGAATATATTTTTTTTATCTTTATGTGATTTTTAAGACTGAATTACAGATAAAAAATAGAACTCTTATTAAATTAAAAATTCTGATATATTCTTGTTGAAAAATTTTTATCTTTCATGATATTGAGATTAGGTACAAATATTTTACATACGGTGTACGTGATTTATAATTTTATATACATATGTATTAAATTTTTAGATTAATGTATTTTTAATATGATATATATTAGATTTAAGAGTTTAATTAACATTTCTTCCTGAAAGCAATCATTTGTATTGTACAATACGGATTAATAATGATATCAATGTATCTGATAAAAATCGATGATATAACTAATTGATGACATCACGGATAATTTTGCCCAATTATTGCTCATAATAAGCGTTGCAATTCGCATATATTTCGCGTAATCCATTACGATGCAATTTATCGATCGCATTTAAAATTCCGTGCCCGTGTTGCTTTCAGAGAAACCGGATATGCAAATGTTCGCGCGATCTCGGGTTTACGCGTCGCGCGGTGAACAGGTTGATCCCTCGCGCCAACCCTTTATGTCATTATAATACTCGTTAGAGGTATGCTCGCGAGTCCGGGTCATCGCAATTGCCAGCATCGCCAAGGACGAGGGTCAGGTGATGTTATTGTGCCAGGGGAAGAATTCCTGGACGTCTGCGGTCTGCGGCCCGGGAAAAAGGGATAAAAAAACCGTGACAGGCGAACAATTTCGCTGTGAACTTGAACATGAACGTGTCGCGATCCTGATCAAGGCCAATCGAATTACTCGCGAGAGAAAAATAGTAGATGATTGTCTTGCGATTATTAGATTTCAACGATCTTCTATTTATAAATCGTAATTATGTCGAGGAATTAATAATCACTTATAAAAGAAAATAATGTATATAACAAGACATTTTGTGTTTTAAATTTTTTTATATTTTTGTTTCTTTATCTGATGTTTGCATAAATTGATCTTTTTAATGAAAAAATATTAATTAAGTAATTAATTAATATTAATATTTGTGTGTACTTTATTAATTAATAATTAATACTTATTAATTAATACTTTATTAATTTAATTAATAATTGTATATAATTGTAAATAATGTATTTAATTTTAAACTGTATAATACAATTACATAATTAAATAAATTATATATAGTTATACAAATAATAAATAATAAGATAACTAAAACTCTAGTTATTATATATATATATATATATATATATATATATATATATATATATATAATAATTTATTAATAGAATAATTGTGCAAGCATCAGAAAGATAAAAATTAATTTTTTTAATCGATAAATTGTAAACATATTTGGCGCATACATAATTGATTAATTACGGAATTTTTCGGTAGAAATAAAGAAGCAATAAGTAGTAGATCAGATTTTAGTCTCCTCCTCCTGGCGCATCTTGAAGACAATTAAATGCATGTTACTTGATCCTGTTCCTGCAAACTTATGATATGAATGAATTTTGGTTCAATAATGTACGCTTTATTAAACACGCTTTATTAAACTTAAAGAACAAGCTTCATTTCACACAAAACGAGTACATGTCGGTACGTATTTATAAAACGTAAAAACGAAACGATGTTACACTGCGGGCGAGAGCGGACGGCCTTGATGTCGTCCAACCATCGTAGCAATTTTTTGTCTTATAATGGTAACGTTATATTAATAATATGAATGTGAATTTACTCGTCCGTAAAATAATGAAACCACTTTTCAAAAGATTTCATCGCAAAAGTATCTCCCCAGGCGATACAAACTTTTAAGAGAGAAACGGCGCGGTGAACCATCTTTTGAATCATTTTTCTCTCGCATCTTTACATTGTTTTAATTATTATGAGCTGTAGAATTTACTATAACCGGAACAAGAGTCTTGGAATAGGAATCTCATTAAAATGCATTACAATGTTGCGAATTAAACGATCCGAGATCGAATGTAGCCTCTGGTGTACGAAGCCAGAGAAAAGGGCTCGTGTTACGACCGAGAAATTCTACGCGATTGGGATCATTGAACGACCTCGAATAAATCGAATATTTTCTCAATGTTCTCTCTTCATTCAACTTTCACTTCTTACGTTAATTACGATAATTAGTCTATCGAGGATTGCGAAGAATTAAATGTTTACTATTGTTAACGGTTTTTTTGTTTTTGAGACCAAACAAATTATCGGCTTTTTTGACTGATTACAAAGTGCTTCTTTTAGAAATAAATAAATGAAAGAATGAGCACACACGCAAACTGTGATAAATTAAGAGATTAAAATATAAAAATGTAGTACATATAATGAAAATAAAAATTATATTTCTTCTAATAATAGATATATGACATTATAGAATTGTGTTTATTATATTTTATATGTTTGATTAGAATTTTGGCTGAATTAGGTAAATGGATCTTATTAAAAAGGAATTTGAATTAATTTCAGAGTTTTTGTAATATTGATAATTTTTTTTAAGAAAGAGTGAGCTTTAAAATTTTTAATCGAGTATGGAATAATAGGTTTTTTAATACTTAGAATACTTACTATTTACATATTTAATAAATTTTTCTTTAATGATAACTTTTGTATTTATAAATATTTTCAGTTCAATAATTATTTTCACATTTATATTGAAGTGTTATCTCTTATCATTAATTTAAAAATAATTTTAATATAATATATATTTTTAATTTCAGAAATTTGAATTTTTAATAGTAATTTTTTTAAATAATGCTTGAATTTTTTTAGAGATGTTGAGAAAATGCAAATTTATATTAAAATGTATATATTCTATGAAGAAAAATAAACATTGAATCCGGTACGATGACTTCTCTGACGCCTTTACGAGTCGCTCGAATGAAATGACGACGGCATGGTGGGCGACGAGGTGACCACGAGAACCTGAGGATCAACCGATGCAATCCGGGATCGACGTATCCTGTCTCCATGGCGAGCGGATCCGCCTTGTCCTTCGACATTTCTTCAGGTTCCTGGTTCAAAGACATCTCGTGCGGCTCGCGACGCATATATAAGTCAAAACCAGATCGCAAGGTGCATAGCTTGGACAGTCCTTCAGCCAGTAAGGAGGTCGGCCGAAACACATCAAGCATGATGCAGACATTGGTAAGCTCAATTTGTCCAGCTTTTTCTTCAATCCCTAAAGTCTTTTTAAGTCAAATCTTAAGCCAAAATCTTCTCTACTCAATTTTCTCATCTCATATATAATTTCGTCTTTCATGATTTCTACTTTTTAAGTTTTCGAAAAATGAAAGTCGGTCAAGTAAACAATTAATTATGATAAACCATATATGTTTCATATATATTGTGTGGATTAAAAAATTAATTCTTAACACGAATTAAGTTTTACTTAACGTAACGCGAATTAAGTTTTACTTAATTAAATCGAATTTAATTAGTTATAGAAACTAATTCTTTCTCTCTTTGTTGATTAATAATAATAAATTAATTATTAAATTAATATTTAAATTCTTATACTTCAAGTCCTACGTAAAGTCACGATAAATTATAAAATTATTTTTAACTATTATGTGGGATGTTAGAAGCGGAAAGAGGTTTTTATTACAATTGATGTTATTAAACGGTGGGAAGTGAACGTCCACGAGAGTGATATATACGAGTGGGCCTTACAATTTATTTGCAAGGGTTGCGCTACGCTTGCCGGGCTACTTACTTTTTGTCGAGATATAAAAGCGTTGAAAAATGCACGCGCGCGCGTGTAAAATTCACGGTTCGCAAGAGTGCGATCACTGCACGTTTTATGGCGACCAAGCCTTCTCGCTAAATGGCACTCTTATCCAACACCTCGGATAGAACTCGTCTGTTTTTCGCTACACGAATTTTTTCTAGTCAGCTTTGCAGGAGCCAGCATGCTACAACTGTTTTACGGCTGTTTATTTAACGTTTATAGTGATTTAAATCATTGGGTACTGTAAACATTATACTTTACACATAGCATAACACTTTCGAAGAATTCAATTTTAATGTTGCTTATTTAAATGTGAACACAGACACCAACAGTCATTTTGTTTTTCAAGCATGTAAACTAATATATGCAATGTAGCGATTTCAAATTTTTTATTATTAATTTGTATAAAATTTTTTTTAATTCCACGTTTCGATGTTTTCATCTTGTTTCATAATTTTGTTTAATTATTCACTTAACAGTGATATTTATGAATAATATTAACGTAACATGTTATTTTTTGAAAATAACATGTTAGAATAATTTTTTAATTTTATTTAATTTAATTAAAATAAATTTTTCAATTATTGTTATTTTTTTTGTACAGTAGGAGAGATTTAGTTATTACATTTTGTCAGTTTATTTTATCGTATTTGTTTCTTCCGTCCCAATTTTTTTAACAAATTGCGCTTAGAAATTTGCAGACAGAAGAATTTGTCTTCTGATCCGATTGTCAGCCATGAGACTCGTCACATCGACTGGTTTAAAATGAAAATGTAGATCAGAGTCGTTGACTTTTTTTCGACTTGCCACTTGACGCATAAAGGGCCGATCGCGCTCTTTTCTCTGGTGTCTGTCGTCACTTCTTCAGACCTTATTGGATCGTAAAGAGAGGCTGGCTTGAGAGGCTCATGCAAATATATAAGCTCATTCCCTCTTCCCTTCCGATTTCACACGTGCTGTCCCTGCGTTTACTGATATCGAGAATAAAATTCGTCGTTGAACATTTCGCCGCGAGAAGCGTCTGCTCTCATCTATCTCCCGGAGGAGATACTCTAAAATTCCCGATGCGGCTCTTGAAAAGGCAAATCCGAAAAAATGCACGACGGTAGTCGGTAGTTGCGCAAATAAATCCACTATCGCGACGATCGCATTTGAGATGAGTCCCGAGGACGAGCGCATTGTTCTCGCGTGCGCTCTAGATAAAGCGCATCCAACCGAACTTTCTGCCACGCGAAGCGTACAAACGTGCGTGCAACGAATATCATACTGTTCTGTTGCGTATTGTTGTCTCTTCGCGGCTGTCGGACCTCGATTAACGGGACATCGCTCGCGAGAAGCGAAGCCGAGATCATTCTTTAATCCTGAAATGATTGTGAGGACGTCGGATTGTTAATGGTAAACGTAATAAACTCATTAATACAGAAAGAACAAGTAAAAAATATCACTCTACAATTTTACTCGGAAGGAGACTGCGTTCTTTCTGAAGAGAACTTAAATCCTGATTAGATTATTTATTTATTTATTAAAGAATAAATGAGAAAGAAAATAATATGATTGACAAAGAAATTAAATTTTGAGAAGCAGGAAAATTCAAGTCGAAGAATATTTATAAACAGAATTAAATAGATTATAAAATTTTAGCAACGAAATTAAATTTTGAAAGACAAAAATTCAAGTCGATAAAGTTTGTAGATAGAATTAGATGGATTATAAAATTTAAATATTTGAATTTTTCTTTAATATACAAGATCTTTTGATTAAACAATTAGACAAGATGAAGTCGAATTAATATCGCGATTAAAGGGTAATAAAACAGATTAAACTAGGAAAACGGTATATTGAAAGTCACTAGTACTTTTATTTCAATGTCGACGATTTCCGCGTATTTGCCGCGAGAATAAGAATCTCTTCCCTCGTAGATTCCAGTTTTCGCGATCCTCAGCGTGGCGACAAGCGCGCAGCTGACCCTGCTGCCCTATGCCTATCTGGCGAATCCGCTTCCGGTGTACCATCAGTCGCAGGACACGCGCACTGGGGTGCACGCATACAGTTACGCCGGCGGCCCGTCCGCGAAGGAGGAAGTCCGGGGTCTCGACGGGGTCACGCGTGGCTCCTACAGCTACATAGATGCACACGGTATCCTGCAATCCGTCTTCTACGTCGCCGACGAGGGTGGCTTCCGCGTCGCGGCGACGAATCTGCCGACAGACGAGCCGGTCCTGTTAAGCAAAAACGTCCTACAGGAAGACGCGAAGACTAGAACCGCTGGAGAGGAGGCGGAGCACACGAGTCGCAGGAAGCGCAGCGTCGAGGCAGCGACCGATAATCAAGATCAGGTAGAAAATTCAAGTTCCCAAGACTCGGCGAACGCCTCACCCAAGAGTTCTCACGAGCTTCCAGCGCAGGAGAAAAAGGCGGACGCCGATCAGGCTAATCACGGCGCCGCGGCATCCGTCATCGCGCCTGTCATCGGACTCTCGGACTCGGTTCTACTCCCGAGATTGATCGGGGCGGCGACTTCCTCTCAGAACCGCGTCGATATTCACGATAACGTTCGCTTGAAGGCCGTCCAACCCGTCGAGACCATCGGAGTTCTGTCGGCACCAGCTTACGAGACGGTGGTCCTTCCAAGTCAAGTGCCTCTGGCGGTCTCCCATCAAAGTCGAGTTCAAGTGCACGACGATCTTCGCGCCGAGACGTCGGAGAAGCTCGCTAAAGACGCGATCCAAGCAGAAACATCGACGATAACCGCGATCAATCTCGGACCACTTCCAGTTCTGCCCACTCTTCCCGATTACAACGAGAATCGAATCCAGCTTCACAAGAGTCTCGGGCTGGAGGGTCCGAATCCCAAGAACGCCGTGAAGCTCGACGCGGTGCCATTGGCGATTGTCAAGACCCCGGTGCCAGCGATTCCGACTGTCATCAAGGAAGAAGCACCGGTCACCGCCTACTCCAGCCAGAGCAAGACCCAGATTCATCGCGACGCCAAGCTCGAAGTAGCTGTGCCGATCGTGAGCGGACCTACCGTGTACCTGGCGACTCCCTATGTCCAACCGATCGCTGCCTGGCCAATCTTGGCGACTCCCCTTGCTCAATCTTCTCAATATCGTAGTCAGATACATTCTAACGAAAAAATCGAGCTGACGAAATAAGGATGTCAGGATTTACTTCGGGCACCTCATTTATTCTCACGATACTTTTGAACCTGATTGACTCGATCCATCAGATCCTCCTGTCTTTCATTCATAAGCAATATAATTTTGTTAGTTTGACTCTCTTTTACAAGATGGATTCGAGATAAATTTCTAAAAATTCTATAAAAGTTTTCTCCAAATAATTATAATTTGTATTATCTTTTTCGCGGCTGTTTAAATTAATATTGTATAATATTATACGTTGAAGGAGATATTTCATCGTAAAACTTTTTATCGATCATAAAAGTTAAGCTCTTTGAGGGTTTAAAATAGTTTTAGCGGATCAATTACTTGCATCGTGCTCAAAATATTAGGCTAAGGCGTCTTCAGCGAGAGTTCTACGAACGATCGATCGATGTCTAGGTTGCTCGTAGTAGCTCGCTGCATCATCGTCATTATTATTGTTCGTTCTCGCTGTGTCATTTCCAATGTAATACAAGCATTTCTAACATTCTCGTATTAAATTATTCGACATGATTCATATCGATTCATGAAAAGCGTCCATCTCGTGCGTATAAATTATTACCCTCTTTCACACAAAAACTTATACCCTCTTTCAAAAAATTATTACCCTCTTTCCACAAAAACTTATAAACATTTAAGTCTAGTTTAATCGAATTCCCTTCGTTCGAACGTTCGATAGCGTCAATTTTCGTGCGAGAATTTAAATTGAACTGTCCGGCTCTATCTAACAAGCGAACTTCCTGTGACCTCACGGGCCATATAATCGAGCGCACGTTTATTCAAAGAAATCTCGCGGATCCAAATCGCGGTTTTAATTAGCCAGCACGTCGTGTCCGATTCGTTCCCTTTCAACGTACGCGAAATTTACATCACAATATCCCCGGGCTGGTGTATATTCTCTCATTACCCGGCCGCGCGGCGACGATTTGTCGACGTCGTGTCGCTCCCTCGCCCAAGATGGAACGGAAATCGCGACCTTGACTTCGGATCCTCCCTTCGTGAACGTCGCGAATACATTACGGCGATAAAACTTTCATGCGCGGATATCGCGAGACCGTCCGAGTAACGACGAGATTAACGGGGATCTCTCCGAGATCCCCGCCGAGAGTGTTCCTGTGCACTTATACGTGTCTTCATGACGGGGATTTTTCCGGAGTCGCGTGTTTGCACATGCCGGAGAGAAACATCCTCGATGGGATTATTTTCCACAGGTGGTGCGGAATTCTTCATGCACGCTCGCTTGAATTTTACGAGCGGGATATACGCTTACTCTTACATAGATGTGACCGTCGGGCGCTTCGATTTATATACACGAGTCTTGACTTTTAAGTCTTTTTAATCTGCGATTTCTCGAAAGAGGAACGAGACATTTATAACTTTATACGAAATCAGAGATATTCCATTTTATATAATTACTTATTCGTTTTTCAACATTTATTACGTTGAAATCGCAGTCAAATCTAGACAAATATGTTATATGCTGTTAATAATAAATATGTTGTTAAGGATGTTTTGTACTTATTTTCAAAATATTGAGAATTTAATGAAAATTGTACAGAATGTCCTTACATATGTTTAGAATCTTCAGTACAATTTTTAAATCGATTCACTAAAGCGTTCACAAGTTATAAGGATTTTAATTTGTACCGAATTAAAATGTGTTCTTATGGGAAACTTATAACCACATCGATTCAAATGACAAAAACACATGGAAATAATATTCAAAATTTGTTTAAAATTTGCAAAAGTTTAGATACAGAGGAAATATTTGGTCAAATAATTTATTATACAAGTACTAACTGGTTAAAAAGATATTAAATATAATTCAATGAAGTTAGCCATGTATCTGTCACAAGACGAAATTCTCTGCCAAAAGTTAATCATTTCGATTAACAAAATTCGGAATATTTCAGTAAAAACGCAATAAATATTAAAAAATACATCTCTACACTGTAACTAAGATCAAGTTGTAATATTCCACACAATTTCTTACTCAAAATACACCAAAAGTGGATATATTTGTCAATATTGATTTTCAGCTACTTTTTGCTGGGATTATACATGCAAACATCCTTATAATAATAATAGCTGCTAATTATATGCATTTTTTTTACAGGAAATGAATTGTATCGCTTCTTTTTTATATTTATTTGTTCGGAATAATTATTGCAATCATCGAAGTCGAAATTCATTAATTTTGCATGCCAACTGTCTTTTCAAATGTCAACTGTCAAACCGTAAAATACGAGACCAGATATTGCGCCGGGCCATTGCTGCTTCCTCGAATTACAAACAATCGTAATGTACATTATGCAATATGCAGACATTGATATGTTTGTTTTGAAAATGCCTTCGAGGGAAGATATTCATGATGCGCCGTGAATGTATATACCATATGTATACGTGCTCGTTTATGAAAATGAGGTTCGCGGATTAGGTCAACGAGCAGACAAACGAGTATCCCAGCGGGAGAAGATCGCGATCAAGATCCGAATCGGATCCGATCGAGAAGCATCTGCCACGAAATCCGACGTAACATTGCTCGTAAACCCTCTCGAACTTTTCTCGACCCGATCCGCGGGGATTATTTTCGCGTACTTTGCGTGGGCACGCATAACGGATAGTCCGCGAGAAGGTCTTTGAAATGTTGCGTAGATTACATCGGATCGGCCATCGTGGTGCGCAAGTAATATTCCTTTATTGTCGAACCTAGTGCCGCCCCTCGCGTATTAGCCTTAATAAAATGCCGGCATAAATTCCCGGATCTTTTTTCGCAACGCGCGCGGTTAACTCGCGCGGATATCTGTAGCGCGAGAGTGGTAAATGCGAAATAATAATGGTCGCTGTAAATCATGCGTGGTTCCCCAATATTTCTATCGGGACCTGGGGAGATAAATGTAACGCAATACGCGACGCAAAAATGGAATTGCCATAAACCCACGCGGATACTTTGTCCCTTAGGGTATTATGCATATTGCTCGCATATAAAGGGGAGAGAGAGAAGAAGCGAATTATATCTGGATCAGTTTCAGGAATATTATCTCATATAAGGCTATTTCGGATTTAAAAAAATTAAAAAATATTAAATTTAATTTATATAATATTGTTATTTATTTATTTATATAATATTAGATTTTAATTATAAATTTTATATAAATTTTATATAATATATACATATGCTAGATTTTTTTTTATTATTAAGAAATATTAAAATTGAAGGAAATGTAGTTATATATCTGATAAAATTTGAATTCGAGATATCACAAAATGAGAAGACAAAACTTTTCGATTCTCCTATTGGAAACTTGCTGAATCTTAAATAATAACTCAGATATGTCTGATCTCGTATTTGACAGTTTTACGAATGACATTTGACACATGTAAAATATAATGAATTTTAACTATGCAAATTACTTTAAAAAGAATCAATGCATTCACTTTACTAGAAAAATAAAAAAAAAACTATTTTTATCAGTAACATGCACTTTAAAATTACAATTGTCTGCGCCAAATTCGAATCATGTGTTCGCTGAACTTATGCTCGATATACGATATCGAGATCTATCCCTCGGGAAAAATTCATTTTCGTTCGTACGAAGCGATCACGATGCATCAAGATGGGACGAATAGGCGGAAGAAGGTGGAAACGGACACGACGATTCGCATCCGCGATAATAGAAACGTCCAGCACGTATAGCGTACACATACGTAGGCATTCGCGACGATAAGGGCAACGCGTACACATACGTTAGGTCGCGGATAACGCGCGTCCGCAGATGGTCCGTGCCCGATAAAATGGCGGATAATGATTACCGAGGCGATTCGATCCCGAGTATGCACGTACGTACGTAGGCTTTTAGATTATATTCGCACTTGGTGTCACGCGAGAGACGCGATAGGGCGCTCGATGTTTATGCCCGAGATTACGTTTCCGCGTGCATTCACCGAAATAGAGCTCGCCGATGGCGCGTAAACTTGCGTCCCTTCCAAGTGGCTAGACGCGAAGACCTACAATAAACGTACTTGAATACGGTGTGGTTGACTCGAGGGACACTCGAGCCGCAGACTAGAACCATATGTGTGACTTCACTGAACAAAAATTGATTTGATGAAATAAAAATAAAACGAGTAATAAATTAAGATGATAAAAATTAAATTAAAATATTTAATTAAGGAATTTACTTATATAAAATGTGAATTAAGCTCTTTAATTTACTGACATGTGAAAGAAAGAGAGAGAGAGAGAGAGTATATCATATAATTAATTGTTAAATTATTCTCTCGTGCTATTTTTAATGCAGCGTATGTTATTCACGCATATATTACACATATGTATGAAAACGGATGAAATAATAGGACGAAAAAAAAAGAAATGTCTTCTCCCACACGTTGCAATCTCCATAAGTCTAGCGTACGATACCGATATGAGAAAATTAATCTCACGTGCGCCTTCTCGTAGCAATCTCACGTCACGATCTATGTGTGATCCACTTTTCCTTATCTGCGGCATGAAAATATCGCGAATCAGTTATCTGCTCTGGACAATAATTATACTTTAAATCACCAGTTCCATGATCATTAATGCTTCGTATCGATTCCACAAGCCGAATATTTATTTCACGATAACGAAACGTTGATTACTCCTAGTAATAAAAATCACAGTAGATTCTATCATGCACAAGTCTCCCCAAAGGGAGGGAAAAAAATATAATTAACATCGATATTAACAACATAAATTAAAAAAAAAGAAACGAGTTTTGTAAAAATCTCTTCAAAATCTCTGGTGTACAAATTATTATAAAATCGAAGAAATACCTCGGCATTTGTAATTCTGAATACGCTTAATGCGTATATCCCCTAATAATAAATAGCGGTAATAAATATTTCGCGACTCTAATGAGATAACTACTTACGACTAAGCGAGATATTAAGGATAGTCGGAATACAATACTTATTAAAGTATCGCGATCGATCTTAATTGATCGCCGGCCGTTCCTCGCGGCCAGCACGCGCAACCTTGCACCGCTTATCGTTACGTGCGCGCGTTAAGGCCTCCTCTCGTGGGAGGCAGGCCGATAAAAGCGGCCCGGAGTAGCCGGGGTGCCCGGGCAATCAGCAAATGGAATCGTTAGTTAGTCCCTTAGTAATCTTCGATCGGACGTTAGTTCCTTCTTGTAGTACACGCTTGCGGCCAACGATCGTGATTCACGATCGCGTTCGAGCCACCCTAGGATTTCGCGCGCGCGCGCGCGCGCGTCTCGGCTAATTAGCATATTATTTATCGCCCTTTTATAATTGCCTGCGCGAATTTTCGTAGCAGGAATAACCAACCGCGCCCGCTGGCGATTTATGTCGGGAGTCTAATTTGATTAGACTCCCGGACATGATTATCGTATCCGGTGTACGTTGTCGAAGTCTCGAGAAGGGAGGGAATTTATTGGGAATCGTATTATCGCGTTTCTATCTCGGAGCCGTCCCACGTCGTCGATATATATATAATTATGAATACTTTTTTTCCGCGCCTTCTAAAAATGACTCCGCTGACGATGCGCGGAATGTGCGGGGGAGTTCGCGCGAGTTATTTCAGCCGCCTGTCACGACTGTCGGTCTTAGGGGAAGATTTTACGGGTCGTGCTCGTAAATCAGGCTGTTCCCGGCAACGCAAAGAGACGGTGAAACGGATCTATTTATATTCGTCGACGCGATGCGCGTTTCATCCGGATCAAAACTGACGTTGCATTCTTACTGCGGTTTGTGCAGTGGTGCGTGGACGGATGAAATCTGGAAGGTATCAAAATGTACTTGTATTCATTTCAAAGAATTGGTAGATTAACGGAAAATTGACGATAGAAACTTTGTAAATGGCTCTGTAAAGTTTTTGATAGCCAGAAAAATTTAATTTTTAAGTCTCATCTTTTTATCAGATACTGCGATACATATGCATGTAGACAAAAAGGACAATAAATAATATATATAATAAATAAAATATAATAATATATAATAATAATATATAATAAATATATATAACAATAATATATAATAAATAATATATAATAAATAAATAAAATTATATAATAATAATAAATAATAAATACAATAATAATGTATATTAGTTGATGTATGTATTCGTAATGAAAATCTTGTGAAATATTTATTAATAAATGTTTTCCTTCGTCAATAATTTATACTTTATCGTTAGAAATAGAAAAATTGTACGATGCTGGCAAACGTCCTGTTAGACACCACTGTACGAGAAGCGAGTCAACGATCTCCGAGGCGAATGAGCAAGAAAAATTCTCCGGCCTTCCGTAAAAGGCGAAGCCGAATATCTTGTAGATGTATCCTGTTTGTGCGAAAATACGGGAATAATATTATGTACGAGAAAAATATATACGAATGCATTGAGGCTGTGGCATGTATCGTATCAAAATCGTATGATACGCGCAAAAAAGATGAGGCGGCTGCGGGAGAATATCAAATTCTTACACCAATGTTTGGCAAAGCTAAGAAAACGGACGGAAAGAGAAACGAGAATTTTGCCATCGAGAAACATACTTGTTCAATGAGCAAAATGTAAGGGACGAGACACGTAGTTCGTACGTAAACAATGAGTAAAACGTAAACGTCGGGAAATGTAATATTTACTAGATGGTAGGTAGACGTTGTGTACCCAGTGGTAGATGGACATTTTGTGTACACAAAGCTGTGTACTTAAAAGCTTGCCTATTACAAGTAGAATTGCTGTCCGGATATTGACCGTTGAAGGCAGAATTACTACTATGAAAGTATCAATAAGAAATAAAATAGTTTAGATGCTCTCCAAAATCATTTGCGATGATAAAATCTTATAATGATAAGAAAAAATTATAATAAATATAATAAATTTAATTTAATAATAAATTTAATAATAAAATGAAAATCGAGTTATATCTCTTTTCAATGTAATTCTTTTGAGAGAAATTTTTAAATTTGTAATTTGCGAAATTCTATATAAAACAAAAGTTGATATACACTGTAGCTAATAAGATGAAGTTGCCATTCATCTTCGGCCGTGTCGAAATACTGAATTGTAAATTTTTCTTTACAACGATTTAACAGATCGGTGCATCCATAGGCGTTCTAAACCATATATATCGCGATTTAAGAAGTTGAAAGAAAGGGTTTCGCGCTACTGATCTTTATTCCGGAAGGAGAACTTTTAACGAATGGAATACGAAAGAGTTTTTGCAATGCTAGCTTTTCCTAAACTAAGAATAGTTTGTAATTACGCTATAAATTTGTGATTAAGCTATAATAATATCAATGGCGTTTAACGACGTAATAATTATTTCATGTAACATTGAAATTATTGTCGATAGATTCTGTCAATAATAGGGAACTTATGATAGTAAAAATAGCTTCGCGGAACTGGACGGCAATTTGAGGACATGAATTTTGAAATAATGGAAGCCGTTTGTGTCTTTAAATAGCACGAACGAAAACTATTCGAAAAATTACAGGAGAAAGGCAAGAAATAATATATATATTATTGTATATATTTGTATATATTTTTCTAATAAGTATTAAATCGAATATTATTATTAGAATTTTATTTAATATTGGATCTTTATTTATTATTATTGAATAGTTAATTACTGAATATTCAATATTGAAATTTTTATTTTTATTTATTGTTGGAAGAATTTTTTAAAAATATAATAAATCACGAGGAAAGGATTGAAAGATGTATTTAATAGAAGAAAGTCAGTAGTGTATGTGTTCGTATTGCTAATTGATGCGTATAGCTTGTATTTTGAAAATGATGTATAATTATTTGCGAAACTATGATAAAATTCGAAATTACAACGTCTGATTTATTTTAATAAGATACTAAACTATTTTGAATCTTTTAAAGTTGACTCCGAGAGAGATAATAGATTGAATTCCTCTCTCTTTTTCTCTCTTTTTCCTTACATACCGAGGGAATTGATAGTTACCATTGTTTTTGTTCCACGGGGGGGTTGATTTAGGATCACTGCGTCGTCCTCTCGTCGTATTCTCAACAGAATTGCATTGCCATATGTATGTGCGACTGGATAGTCCGCTCTACGAGTGCCATTTAATGCGAGATGAGAAACAGAGAGAGAGAGAGAGAGAAGGAGAAAAAGAAGGAAGGAGAGAAGGCCCGTTTAGTGCCAATGTCAAAACCAACGCAACACCGCCTACGTGCTCATGTGTGTCGGCAAAAGAAGCCTTCTCTCATCGTCGGCGGCGACTTGTTGCGCGAGCGAATACGTGAGTAATTCCATCGGAATTGATGAACTCGTTACGCTCATATCGTTCCCTTACATCGTCGGATTAAGCGTGCCGGCCGTAAATTCGCGGCGGGCATTATTTATGCGATCATCGGTGTCGAGACGCAGCGGCAGCGGCTCTCGAGGAGGCCCCTGCGGCCGCGTCCTGGACCTTCCCTAAAGAGATGCCACCTCTTGCCGCCCTTTAATTGCATTCGCAGTTAATTGCGTTCGTTTCTATTTGCCCGACTTCGATCTTTGTCGAGAGCGCGAGCGTCGCTTTTAATCCCTCGAAGCGTTTAATCTTGCTCCATATCTCGTTGAAAGCTATGCTTTTGTCATGGATGGTTTCATTAGATGCGACGAGTTTAAAAGTTCCAACAGTATCCTTTGTAATGAAATCTTCTATCATGACGCATTTATGAAAAAATATGAATTATGATTTTAAAAAAATAAAATATATAAATAGGAAAAAATAGGTAAAAAATGAAAATTAATAAAATTTTAATATAAGATTGTATATATAATTATTTTGACGTATTTAAAAATTATATATCATAATTAATTATTTTATATTTAATTAATATTAAGTAATTACATATTAATTATTTAATGTTAATTCAATATAAAATAATTATAATTAACACATGGTGGATTGCGATGAAGTCGAAAAATATTTTACAAATGGATACATCGCAAATCTTCGTTTATCGGATTTTCCTCAAAGAAAATTAATTTCTTGAAAAATACTGCAATTGCAAATAACTTTTATTTTACCGATTAATTATCGTTCATTGTCATTTTCAGATCGAATTACTTAGATTTTTATATGAAGATTTGATTCGCGATGGAAAAACGATGTCGCGCGAGAGAGATTCATCTTGGATACGTTTAAATGTGTTATGGCGTTGTGTAATAGCTAGTATATTTGCATTGGTATGCGCAAGACCATCTCTTCCGTCCATTACATGCCCTCCAATGTCACTTTGTAGCTCGTAATCACACGTGCGGTTATCGTCTTAGCATTGTGACGTGACGAGGCGCAGATTATTACGTATTTGGATAAGGAATACCTAGAGTAACTAGCAATAATGCACTCGGGATAATCTGATAAAGATCGCGCAAGTAAAGGTTCGCATAAATTATGTGCGTGTCTTTGATTAAAATCGTGATAAGATATACAAACATGATGATAACAAACTATCAAAGATTATCAGTTATAATCCAATGATAATTTCAACGTCAATATCAATCCTGAAGAGAGAATTCCGAAAAGTTATTGAAATAAGTTGTTTTACACACACGATATATAATACAAAAATATATGTTTATTGATTCTTTTCAAGAGAATTAACTCAGACAAATTTTATTTTCAGGCAAGATTCATTTGAACATCTATCTACAAGTTTAATAAAGTCAAACTCGCCGCCGATAAAATAATTTATACTTATTTACAATTAATTTCTTATAAGTACAATAATATTCTAAAATAATTTATTTATTATTAATATTACTTATAACGAATGAAGCCCACAGTACTTCCTGCGAGGAAAAGACTTAAAATCCAATCAGCGAATTATCTCTCTTTGCACCATCACCTCTATTACGATCGCCCTATGCGTTCATTCTTATTACATGGGGCGCGTCGAAAAATGCGCATCCTTGGCGGACGCGTTTGGTGGCCGGAATGCGCGAAAGATCGACACACACGGCTCGTATTCAGCGCCAATAAATATTGATTTATCGGTCTGGAAATCGAGCGCGGGGTGATTTGCGACCGCGGGCAACTGGACCTGGGCCCAAGGGCCCCGTGAGCGCGTTCCGTGCCCCATAGGGCCCCCATGCACGCGAGATGCTAGGTGGGGAACCACCGTAAACCTCCGCGCGCGCGGCTGATCCACGGGATCCTATATAAGAGGATGCGACCGAGAGCTTACACTCCGAGAGCTCTCACATCCGTTACCCGACTCTCACCGGGATTACCCTGGACGAGCGAGGAAAAAAAGTCGCGATCGGAGGGACCTGATCCACACGATCGATTAATCGATTCATCAACAATCTGATTCACCCAAGGACGATCATGATACTCGTGAGTGCGAACCCCAGTTTTACATAGGCGCGAATTTTCACGCTTATCGAGTAATTAGAGAAAGATTAATGATAGTTGAATGTAATTTATGTTTAATATTGCAAGATCGGCAAAGTTTGTTTCGCTAGCGCGCCCTTTGACTAATTTAAAATTAATTTCGGGGAGCTTGTAAAGAAAGAGAGAGGTCTCGTGGGCTCCCTAATTTAAGTTCGTCATGTCTCTTCGTGATACGCGAATAAACTTTTAGCATTTTAGCTCTTGTTCGATGAACGAGCAGAATAAATTAAAGTTTTACGCAATTCAATTTGTCGCGTCCCGATAAGAATTCAACATTAAAGGAGAAACCCTCGACACACATTTGCAACCGTATCGAGTCTACGTTATTTAATTACTCGTGCATATTTTAAGACAAGATCCATATTAATGTCAACAACCGCTCTTGCACCGAATGCATAGAAATCAGGATGCGCGGCGATCAGCACCGTCCCGGTAATAACTATTGATTTGAAGAAACCGCGATATGCGGTTGCGATTATTTATTAACGATCCAAGTCCTGGATTCCTCGTTTTTCTTATTCACAGGCGATTTTGTGCAGTCTCGTCGTCGGACGAGCCATCGCTTCGCCGATCGCCAACGTCTGGCTGAGTCCAATACCGGCTCTTTCGCCATTGAGACAGTTTCACATGCAAGACGGATCGGGGTCTTATCAATATTCCTTCACGGGTCCCCATCATGCCAAAGCGGAATCTACTTTGAACGGTGTAACGCAGGGTGGTAAGTCTTAGTTTCATGCATTTTAATCATTCTTTCGTATATTATAATATTAAAAAATTCCTAGAATATTTTATATTATTATATATATTATTATATAAAAATATATAATAAATATATAATAATATATTATTTTATTATTATTATATAATAATAATATATTATTATTATTATTATTATATATTATAATAATATATTAATATATATAATATATATATTAATAATATATTAATATATATAATATATATAATAATTTATTATAATACGTATAATAATATATAATAACATATATAATAATTTATTATGCATAATAATAAATTAAATAAGATATATAATAATTTATTATAAATGATACGTATGTTACGTTACATAAGGTGAAATTTTTTTTATTTGTTGTGCCAACGATAAGTGCGATTCGCTTTCGCGATTCAAGATGCATGCCGCGAGTGCATAAATGGAATGCATTCTTTTGCGAAGTGTATTACAAGAGGAGCATTACCGGCCTACGTTCACGAAAGAATCTTTCACTAATCGCTAACATGACGTAAGAAAGACGCCCATACGTGTCGCATGCTCGTCTCTGCAAATTTCCTCGGATGACAATGTGCGGTTGCATGTTTGAATCGCTCGTTTCTCGATGCAATGTGATGACTCACGATATGATGCGCATGCAATGCATTATAACGTGAAATTGTATGTAATCGCTAAATATATATCTATCTCTATTAATGTTATTTTATATATATAAATACTAATTAATAGTAGCGTTTATTGGAGTAAATGATACGTATTATGATACATATTAATACGGTAAACGTAGCATAATTTGCATCGCAGCTATATTTGTTCCAAAAGCATCGTCTGATATTTCCTAGATAATATAATAGTGCCGTTTATCAAAGGACATTATCTCTACGTTTCCTTAGGATACTCCTACATCGATGCAAATGGAATTTTGCAAACGGTCTCATACACGGCAGACGATGAGAACGGATTCAGGGTCAGCGCGAGCAATTTACCGCAACCTCCAAAGGATGAATTGCAAACGATACAAGACACGCCAGAAGTGGCCGCGGCGAAAAGGAATCACCTCGAGGAATTGCAAAAGTCGCAACAGGCCAATTGGCAGGATCAGAATCTCTTGTCGTATAAAATCCTGCCGTCATACTTCAGCTTCGCTCAAATCCAGCAAGATGGAAATGGCAAAACTGGACTGAACTCGCAAGAAACGCAAGTAAGTTGCGATTTTGTCAATATTTCAATCAAACTTCAGTTACAAAAAAGCGGTAATAAAATCCAATCATATGTTCTTGTAAAAAAAACATTTAAATGGGCAATTTTAATACATCACGATTGCTACAGATTTGATATGCATATTAAAAAATCGTTACAATAATGTTTTAAATAACACAGAAGCTTTACGTAAAAGTTCAATAATTTTTCATTTAACTTTTCTTAGAGCACTAAGAATCCGTTCTTGCTGTCAAGATCGGAGGCAGAAAGAATCAATGTCCCTAAGCCAGATCCAAGTCTCTCGAAGATATCGCCTACGTCTTCGAGTCCCACCATCATCTCGTCACCCACTTCAGCATCATTAAAGGAAAGTACGCTTCTCAAGCGCGATCAACAGGCGCAAACGTCTTCTAATCAGAATGCGTTGCAGCATGCGGGAAAGTTTGTACCACTTGCCGCCAGTATCCAGAGACCGGTAGCCATGCCTACATCCTACGTACTTCCGGTGGTGCCTTATAGATTTCTTCATAGTTCGCTGCATCATACCCAGGACTCCCTGGGCCAATATGATTACAGTTACACCGGGGACTCGAGCGCCAAAACCGAATCCAGATCGCTCGACGGTACCACTAGGGGAGCCTATAGTTATATCGATCCCAATGGAATTCTTCAGCAGGTGCATTACGTTGCTGATCATAATGGATTTAGGGTCTTGGCAACTAATCTGCCCGAAGCCAAATGATGATGACATAGGAAATGTCCCGCGGGATGTAAAAGCGTTCGTTTTCGGAAAAAAAATGCGATGTGTACGAGACGTCAAAATATTAATACTTGTAATTTCCACATTACTATATTTTTTCACACTGAACTTTAATCTTGTGAAAAAATTTATTTTTAAACTTGAGGTTTATAAAAAAACTAAAATATTTCTATAAATTTCGAGCGTGTCAAATAACTCATTTCAATAGAGAAATAAAGCACGAAAAACTAAATTGATGTAGCTCATGTATGTATTTAAATAATTTTATTTTTATATAAAAATTCTTTTTTAAATTCATCCACAGATACATTGCCTCGTATAATAAATATCGGTGTCGGGAAAGATTTTCGAGAAAGAGTAATACGCGAATGCTTCTCGAGTTTGTTCGACAATTATTTTTGTGGAAATGCGAAGGAATAAACTTGATTCGTATTCGAATATCCTCTTAAAACTAACTTTATTTTTTTTTGTAACGTTAAGTTAACTTCGTAATTGGTTTATTATCAAATAAATTATTTTACGATATTATAGACATTTTGATCATCCTTAATTAAAACATAAATAATATCGTATTTTTGTTAATAGATTGCACTTATTGACCATATTTCGTAAATATAAATGAAAAATGCATTTTTTTATTATTGTCTTTGTGTACTATCCTCTCATTTTATTGATTTTTTCTATATATATATATATGTATGTAGCCATCTCTAAAATAATATTAAACGGACTTGACATGATTTAATATTTTTATGTGTATAATATTTTTATAGATATTTATATTTTTATTATGTAGTAAAAGATTAAGTATTTTGTTAAAGGAACTAAATTATTATTTTATGAATCTTGAAGTTATCCAAATTCTTAATCTTTGTCCTTAATACTTTCGTATCTTTAAACTTAAAATATTTCGACGTTTTGAAGTTTCGCAGCTTGTAAATTCGCAAAAAATACTTTTTATACAGAGAACGGATTTACTCAGAAAAACTTATGAAAATGTCACGCAAATTTCAGTATTTATTCAAAAAATAAAATAATACGTATATTTGTATTCAAGAAACATGCTTGTATATTTTGGCTCTACCGAGCACGTAATGAGAAGGGAAACAGCTGCGTTAAATGCAACGCATGAAACACCCTGTTCAAAGCATAAACGCATTCTGAATAGCTGCAGATGAACTTTATTTGCATGCGCAATTGTCTCGTCAGTTTAATACGTGTAAGATATAGAGACTCCGGGATTCTCTACGATAATATGAACGACTTCTTTTATGTGGTAAGCACTTGACGGATTATTACGTAAGCATTAGGGTCACAACATATAATCGGTCAAGATGCTGATAAGATTTGTTGGGGCAGAGACGTGGAATTATAAAATGAACAGTATTCGACGGACTGAGATCAGTACCACTTGAAATATATATTTCCCTCTCTTTCTTGCGCGCTCAAAGTATTGATTGTTTTCGATTTATTTTCGGCAAACGTTTTAAGTAATTAAAGCAATCGCGTGATCTCACACAATGGCATTAATTTCATCGAGGAACGAGGAATCGACGTACGAGGGGCCGACTTCGAAATACGTGCAATATGCGGGCGTGTTTGCGGGTGAGTTTTTGTGCTTAATCCTCGTGAACTAGCGCGGCGTTAAAACGCAGTTGCATTTGCATATGAATATTTAATAGCCATGATAATTTCATCAAAAGCGGCGAATCCCACGCGCGTATATATTTAAAATATAAAGCTTCCAGATTTCAAGAGCCATAAATATGTAAATCCACTTTTATCTCTTTATAGCCTCTTTGAAAACTTAAAACTAGCCTTTGAAAACTCAAACTTTCACGCGCGATTGCAACATTAATCCTCGCTCGCGTATATTAATTTAATTGGAAGTTCGCGTATCGCAGTTAAAACTAGTTCCCTCCTCGCGATAGACATCTCTTGACTGTGTAATTTAACTTCGCCGCTGCGTGCCTGTGGGATCTAAAAGCGAGGAATGTCAAGAATAACGCGAAGTAAAAGAATCCTCAAGACGCGAAGTGTCTCTCTCTGAAGAGATATAAAATATATTTTTCGAGATGTGGATCAAATAAAATATTTTTCTCAAGATATATTCTCGCGATATATTCTCTCTCTCTCTTTCTCTCTTTTTTTTCGATATGTTAACATATTTGACATTTACTTTCCACTACTGCTTTAGCGACACTCGCCGCGTTTTCAATCGGCACATATTTGTCATGGACATCATCCGCTTTGCCTCTTTACAATAAGACCGACACGTTATCCGTTAGTGATCAGGAAGCCTCCTGGATCTCATCCTTGGTCCCTCTCGGCGCTATCCCGATTACTATACCGGCGGGAATTCTGGCGGATAAATTTGGTCGGAAGAGAACGATCTGGGCGATAACTGTACCTTTATTTTTATGCTGGTACATTATCGGATTCGCGCAGAGTAAAATATGGTGAGAAAGTTTACTTTAAATTTTTCTTCAATTTCGATATATAATCGTTATACATAATTTAAATTCTTCGTATTACGAAAAAAAAGATATATATTATGAGCGCATAAAAAGAATCTAAATTTTTATGTTATATTCATTATAGTATGATCTTTATATTTAAAAAATAATATGTTCAAATTTTATTTTAAGTTTTATCGTTAATTTATATTGTACAACAATGAGCTCCGATTGATGGAAAAGTAATTATTTTCGAAAGCTTAGGATATTTTCTATTACGATTGAGAGGATTGAGTGAGTTTAATATTATTATTCTAACGGACGATTATCGGAAGCCGAGTCAGTCAGGTACAATTAACAATACAATCTGAGCGGATAATTGACAGATTAGAACGGATACAAGTCAACAAAATCCTTGTATTGTAACCGCGGATGAAGAATTCAAAGTTTCATTTCATTCCTCGAAAAGACGATCACTTGTACAAGTTATAAATCTTGAAACTTCGCTTGATCATACAATTCTCTCATTCATTTCGCGTCTTTCATGATACTGAAAAACTTTAGCTAGATCGATTTTTATTACACAATTATTTTAATTAATTAAATAAAATAAAATAATTAAATAAATTTTTTTCTTTATCGAGCATCAGTCCTTCAGTTACTAAGAATTTATCCTATCAATCGCATCGGCTGCATTTCCAGCCAGTAGAAGCGACTTTACTATGCGGTTTCCATTGATTTTCTACTTAACTTACGTAATCGAGATTTTCCATTGGAAGGATTTTTCTGGGTCGGTTTGTTGCGGGGGCAGCGAGCGGCGCAGCATCCGTCGTTGTTCCCATGTTCACTTCCGAGATTGTCGAGCAGAGCATTCGGGGCTTACTCGGCACCATTTTTCAGTTGCAAATCACTGCTGGAATCCTCTTCGCATATGCCACTGGTAAAATAATACATGTTCAAATTTTATTTTCATTTTATTTATTTTTATTGTATACTAATGAACTTTAATAGGCAGAAAAAAAATTAATATGGTTCATTCGGACTTTGTCATTAATTAATATCACAAGATTAACTTTAGAAATTAATATTCTTGTGCTCACATGTAATGTTATATTCTCAAACGTTCGACAATTTTAAACAATCTTTAAATAAGGAGGAGTGTCAAGTTCATTTCTTTGGATAGAAAATCTTAGGATTAGTATTTTCTATTACAATAGTCTATTACAATAGTCTATTATAATTAATGGAATATAATTTGTTATGAATATAAAATTAAATCTTCCACGCAAAGTATGTGTCTTTAGTACTATTCAGCAAAACCTGAAATTTAAATTAGAAACATACATTAATGTATAGTTATATATCTTGTTCATCAATATCTGTTTAATAAAGCTAATAATAATTCTGATGTTAATAATAAAAATTTCTAAAAAGAATTCATAAATCAAATATTTGCTTTTCAAATCAATTTTAATTTATGTTGCAATAAATGTAGCCCATCATTTACTGTTGCTGTTTGCATCTATGATGGCAATTATCCAATAACGTAGAAAAATAGAAAAAGTTATCGATAAAGAATCGCATAAGATAATTTAGATTTCATTCATAATAATAGGTTCAATGATAAAATTGAAATCACAAGAATCGCATACGATAATTTAGATTTCATTCATAATGATAAGTTCAATGGTAAAATTGGAAATCACTAGTACAACCCAATTGTACAATAACTTTGTTGAATTGATAAGCGTACGCACAATGTTTGCAGCTTTCACCGATAGTTTGCACGTCATCGCGATACTGTGTTCCGTGGTGCCTGCTTTGCTTTTGATCTCCTTCCCGTTCATACCGGAATCACCAGCGTGGCTGGTCATGCAGGGTCGGAAGAACGAGGCGAATGACGTGCTGAAACACTTCAGAGGGGCTCATTATCGTACCGAGACGGAATTAACTAGACTCGAGCTTCAGGCTTCGGAAATGCGAGAAGCCAAAGCCAGTATTTTTCATCTAAGAAATTATCAAAAAATGACCTGGATCACTCTTGGTAAAGATAAACATTTAATTTTCAAATTAATTTAATTATAATTTCTTTTATATCAAATTAGTTAAATATACCAATAATATTGTTATTAGAATAATAAGTATATAATATTTTGCTGTTTTAATTATCTTTCCTCCTGATAATTTTATTACATATGTATATTTTATGCTGAATTTTATGTGTTAGCATTTTATAATTTGAATGCATTCTAGGCCTAATAATTTTCCAACAACTTTCTGGTATTAATGCTTTGATATTTTACGCAAAGAGGATCTTTGATGACGCGGATTCGATTCTGAGTTCATCCATATCGTCGATGATTGTGGGTGTCGTGCAAGTAATTGCTACTTATTACTCAACTATTCTGATTGAACGCTCCAATAAGAAGCTACTCTTATTCATCAGTATGTCAGTGATGGCTACTTGTATGTTTATATTGTCTGGGTACTTTCACTTTCAGGTAAAGAGCTTTTTAAGTAAATTAAAATAAGTAAATGTTGTTGTAAATTTTATAAATATGAATTTGCAACTACATTAATATTATCTCAGAGATTTTAAGATTTTAAGAATATTAATAATTATCAAATATTAATATTTAGATTTTTATTTAATATTTTACATCGAAATTTTTCACTTGGCTTACGAATTCTGAATTTTTGTTTCAGAACTCGCACGATATATCGAACGTTTCCTGGATCCCTTTGTTCTCCTTTGCGGTATTCATCATGATTTTTAACATCGGCTTGGGTCCGATACCGTGGTTGATGGTCGACAATTTGTTTACGAACAATGTAAAGAGGACGGCGAGCGCTGCCACCGCAATATGTAATTGGACGCTGGCTTTTCTGGTGACGAAATGCTTCCAGGATATGGTCAATCTCATGGGGCTCTCCTCGTCGTTTGCCACGTTCGGCATGATAAGCTTAATCGGAACTGTATTCGTCTCCACGTTGGTGCCGGAGATGAAACAGATGGGCAGAAACGTCGAGGAGATTCAAATCGAATTGTACGGAATGCAAATTAGAACCTCGAGGGAAACAGATCCCGAAATATGACGATGAAATAATTTACTGTTCTTGTACTTTTGCAGTTAAATTGAAATACTTGGCAAAAGTACGAACAGTATTGTACTATATTTTATAAATTAAGAAATTAAGAAATTTGACGTAGGAAGAGATGTAATTTTAAACTTCAGATGAAAGGAATCTCTCTTTACATTGCATCTTTTGATACGACTAGTCCGCATACCAAGACTATTCTTGATATTTCTTCTGTTTTATCTCGGAATTCGAGACAAGATTATGATAAGATATTCAATTAATTATTAAATCAATAACGATATTAAAATTATTGTTCTTGTCAAGATTGTTGATTTTTAAAAGAGCTAAATGTAATATGTACATTAATAAATAAAAATATTTATATTAATGAATTTATAAATACAATAAATAAAATAAACAATCTAAAATTTTATAAAACTATTTATATATAGAACAAAAGAATTAATCTCGATTTACTTGTGTCATATTTATATTGTATTTTAGGAAGTAAACGTGACATAAGTAGTAATAATTTTATCTTAAATTCTATTTTAAAGATGTTGAATATATTATTTTATACAATATTGTTCAGGAAATAAAAATTAGATAAAAATTAGATAAAAGTTATTAATAAAATCGAGACAAGATAATACAAGATGAGATTTTTGTTACAATGATTCAAGACCAAGATAAGATTTATGTTCTCAAAAATTTTCAATATAAATACAATATTCATATTATATTCTCTTATTTTCTTGTGCAATACTCTTGATAATTGCAGCTGTGGAAAATATTTTTAATAATTAGCGATTCTTGTTGTTTTTTAGATAATTATATTTAAAGAGAAAAATTATGTAAATTATGTAGTGAGCATTTTACATTTATTTTTCTTTTCCTCTTTTTTAAAATCTTATATAATACATATATAATAGAATTAATTTCTATTTATTACGTACCTTGTGAAATGAATGTGTCCCGCCGTTGAACTTCCGTATTTGTGAAACGTGAATTGTGAAAGATCACAAGGCCGTTTATACATATTCACATATTTATTTTGCATCCGTTTTTTTTACGTATTTATACGATATATCACATAATACATGAACCACGCAATAAAATCGATCGGTCGTCTCGCCGTCCCCGTTGAATTACAGTCGCGTCGCTATAACAGCAATCTAGGGGATTAGATTGGAAAGTTTCGCGAGACGCCGAATCTCTCGCAAACGTTGGACTTAACGTAGCCCAGCGATATCTGGGCGTATTGCTTTCCTCTTGTATGATATATATGTATAATGCGTGTATACATTACACGCGCGGTAACAACGATGTGTGTGATGCGATGTTTATTATACAAACGCGCGCGAGATTATGTAAAAAAAAACGTACAAATCAACAACATCGAAGAGAGTCGCGATCTTGTTCCGGTCGCATCCCGGAAATGTCCCTCAGGACTAATGAGAAAGAAGAGAGAGAGGAAGCGGGGGAGAAAAGAGGCGAAAGGAAGGAGGAAACGCCAATATTATATACGAGTGTGCGCGAACATCGGCTTATAATAGCGGATAACGACATACTTAACGCTATGCGTACACACAGATGTCGGATATGTACATAGAAGATAATCCGTCCCCTCAGCATCTCGCATCTCGAATTGCGCCGCAAGTGTTGTTTAATCTCTATCATCCTCCTTGGAGATGGTCTCTCGTCTTTCAATGGGTACCGATCTAATAGCGACGTGGGACGAATGCACTGCGCAACACGTATATGCACACATGTCACGGATGTCAGGAGTAATCAGTTAATCAATCAATCATCTCAGCTTGAAACCGGAAAGGACTCCAAGATCGAGAGCTGCATGATTCACTCGTGTATTGGATTAAATAAATAATTGCAAAGCGATTCTTTGTGCGCGAAAGAGAGGAGAACGTCGAGAAAAGAAGGCACATATACACACACATGCACGCACACACCGAATAAATATATTAATTCAATCATCGGAGAGATTATCATCTCTCGAGTCCCCCGGCAAGAGTCCAACCGACTACTCTCTGAAGATCCGCGCGGGATACATGTAACATTAAGTGGGTACGATGACTCATTACGTTCACCGGATGGTGGTCACAAGGAGAAATGGTAGCTTACGAAAGACGTGTTAAGTCCTTATAATGTAGCCGAAAATACAAATCGAAGCGACGAGATTCTATCTTCTCTACTCCTTTGCACAGATGAAGCGTCGCGTCCTGGTGCACTAAAATCCAGTTTCGATTGGATCGCACGAAGCTCTCTCTGGCATTCTGCTTCCATCGACCAATTACAGTGTAAAGGCAAATCGAACGGCGAGTTACTTGCTTATGTTTCTTTCAGAGATAGATGGCAGAGAAACGAGAAGAGTAATTTGTTACTTGACTTACCTCTCTGCTGGCTCTCGTTGCAGCGAGATTACGCGATTCGCGTGAAGAATCAAGTCGAGAGAGTAACAAATTATTTGCTCACCTCGCCTAGTAAACTACTTTTCTCTCCTAATTCACTTCAATCATGATAGATTGACACGATGCCGATAGACAGACCAAGAGTGATGTTCGTTTTTCAACAACAAAGGGCAACAGAGAAGTTAGAACAAGACTCGTTTCTTAACTGCCCGCCTAATAATTTCGTGTGATCGCAGTATATTAGACAGACAAAGCGTGGATGCGTTTCCAGCTTCGTCGACAGTCAAATTCGCGTCAGTCTGACGAAAAGGCGAAGCGTATATTACGTTGACGTGTCCGAGAGTCGCCGATCATCAGATTATCCTCGCTCTGGAAGATCGAGGGTTGAAGGTGACGCGCTGCGCGCCAACTCGGACGTGTCGCTACAATCATCTGGACTCACTCTGCGAATGCGTCGGTTCCGATGCCGGATCCGGATCCGAGTCGTCGATGGAGATCCCATGTTGAGCACCGCGGATCGAGTAACTCGGACTTCGTTCGCTTCTAAAAATGGCAATATCCTTTCTTGCTAACTAGGCGATAGTTTAGACTCTATCAAATTTATGGCAAATGTATCTCGATTACATAACCCGGGTTCAGAACCAAAATTGACTATTTCAGGTGCAACCACAGAATCGATCGCACATTTCGTGCACAATCAAGAGAACATATTGTTGGCGAATGTACGTTTATATAATCGAGTGAAAAGATAGGCTCTTTAAAATTTGATGACCTTTTAACCCATCAAACGTTTATGGTGCGTAAAATATGATAAGATTTGAAAAAATTTCTTTTAACGATTACATAAAACAGATCTTTTACACATAAAAGTCCAATAAATTCGAATGGTATAAACGCATGATGCACCAAGCTGAATACATCATAAATGTATATCAGGATTTCCTAAATTAAAATATAAAATTTTGAATATGAAATTATGATATATGAGATCGTATCTCTTTTATCAAAAACGATCATACGAAAATAAATCATGAAGTAGAATTATTTTATTTTATAATACAAATATATTGTAACACTGACCTCATCGCCAACTGACTGCCATCGCTGCCACGACGCAAAGTGTTGACGCGTTGTATGCAGGAGCACTTGCAGCAGATGATTCTCTTGAAAGCGAAGCGAAAGTCCTTGCTGAAGAGGGCATAGATGCAGGGATTTATCGCGGAATTACAATATCCTAGCCAAAATAATACGCTGAAGACGGTCGGATGGATGTGATTCGGACAGAATGCGCGCACCAGGTACATGGTGAAGAACGGCAGCCAGCACATTATGAAACCGCCGACGATGATGCCCAGGGTCTTCGCCGCCTTGGTCTCCATGCGGAATCTCTTCACCTGCATACGACCTTGTCTCATTGTCCGCGACATAGTAATATTTCATAAAAATATTCCTTTTAAACTGTTTCGTAAAACTATTTTTCAATTCCTTTTGAGATCCAAATTAATCCCGATATCAATATGATTGGCTAAAAAAAAAACAAAAATCAATTTCCAGTTGTTTCTTGAGTATCCTTGTAAAAAATATGTTTTTGTAAAAGTCGTAACTATCGCTCGCGTGACGCTCGTTTGTTTTTGTAACGGTTGAAAAATAGACTCTCGACGATCAAGGTGTTAAAAGGCACAAATGGAAAGTCGCGTGACGCACTTGCGCTTTTATGTTCCTCTTGCCTAGCTTCATCACTCGCGGTTTCTCCTCACTGCTCGGCGTCATCTCGCGTAATGACAGCTCGTCACCGGTTACCTGACTCTCGCAGCTGCTCCGTCTGCTCGGTTTCTTGCTGCTGCCGATCCTATTGACACCACCGACCTGAAAAGGGATTTAACAAGTCGGTCTTTACGACCTCGATACACACATACGCGCCCGCGTCTATAAAATACGAATTCACTTTCGCGCGAAATTTACGGACGCCGTAAAACAGTCATTTTTCCATGACGACCGCAAGTAACGGTAATTACTGTCGTCAAAAGACGCGAAATTCGATTAGAATCCTCCTCAACAGAAAATCTGTATTGGACGTCTCGAATTTTTCTCTCGTGAACAAAAAAAAATAATGAACACTTACGAAAAATTATGCGACTTTTATAGATTTTTCTCAAAATTAAAATGTAATTACTCGTACTTAGATGTTAATCTTTTTCTTATTTTTTTATCTCGATTGCTTGTAAACGTTCATTTTAAAAATGCATGTTTCTCAAAAATATTTTCATAAAGAAAAATTTTTATATATCTGTTAAAAGGAGATGGAATAAAAGGAGTGATCCTCTCTCTTTACTGATTAAAAAATCGTGGTATAGGAGATAAAACCCCTCGGCGAAACAGACACGTGTCTATAATCTGCTTCGTTCGTCTGTAAAATCGCGCATACGAACTCGTTTGCGAGAGAATAATTACAATCGATAATTTAAACGACAAAAAGCTCGGAGAATCTTGCGAAACAGCAAAAAAAGAGAGAAAAAAATAGTACGACCTGTCCAGTCGAAATAAATCAGTAACGAGCCCTGGTTTTATTGAACGAGAAGCTGACTCTTGATCCATTCCGTTTTGCAAATGATTAATCGGCAATAAACAAGGTATGCGTGTGCACTCGAAATTGCGACGACAAAATGTCATTAGTCAGGAATTCGCGCACAACGATGAAAGAGCTGGAGATTTTATCTTCTCAATCAGAGTGGATTATATCTAATTTTGTATACTATTATATGGTGACAAAAAGTATAAAGCTTTCAGCTTTAAAAAGATACATTTTTTTCTACCCTATAAAGAACATTTTAATTATATATTTTAAGAAGATTAAGAGGTTGAGAAAATCTAAAAGAGAGATTACCCTATCTCGTGAACATAATTAATCTGAACGTTTCGAGGAACTTATATCAAGATCTGCCTCCATACTTATATTAAGATCTAATTTACCTTTAAGTGCGTATTTCGCGGACAAAGCTGCGTCTGCGTCTGCCCGTTGCTATAATGAACCGAGATTTGCGAGCACTTCGATGGCGTTCTCTCGAGGGTGTTGCATTTTGTGTTAAGAGTTTCAGTGCTGGGGTAGGAGACCGAGATTTTAATCTTCTCCCGCTTGACAGAGCTACGGCTGCTCGAGTCTGGGCTTCTCGAGTTGCCGTTGTTGCTGCCGTTGTGGACGCTACCGCGGCCACGATGTATTCGTAAGGTCAGTCTTTGTTCGTCGAACCTGCATAAGAATAAGAATCGAGCTCCTACGTAGACGTTCTATTATCTGCCAGCGGCACATAATAAAGCTTCACGTGAAGAGGCTTCTGTTCTTGTGAGAAAGGAGAAATTTAATGACGGAAGCTAAATGAAATGACTGAGTAGAGAGCAGAGTGCGGAAAAATATAATTAAGTGCAGAGAAATTTATTTGCTATGTTATTTCATAAAGCAAAAATCATGGAAGGACAATTTTCTTTATCTTGTACAAGTAAGTCTTGTTAAATATTTTATTAATAACTGGTATGGCAATTAATTAAAAAAAATTATTAATGATGAAATATAATCAATATAATCTTAAAAAAAACGTAAGATATAAATAAATGATAGAGAATTCAATAAGGAATTATAAAAAACAATATTTTTCAATTGCGAGTTTTAAAAAAATTGCGCTCCTGTTTCGGGAGTTTACCTGCTGCCGAGCATTTTCGAGGCCTTCGTTGTCCGAAAACCTTGATTAATGGCTCTCGTCGTGGAAACGGCGGCATTGTAGATCCGCCAATAAAAAAACAGCATCACTAGCATCGGCATGTAGAAGGAACCTAGGGCGCTGCAAAACAATGCGATTATGATTTTCCAGTAATCATGTTTTCCGGAATAATCGAGCACCTTTGCACATGACAGTTTGACTGCCGTAATTAATAATTCTACCACCGCCTCTAATAATCGGTGAGATGATCTGGTCGAGAGATACGAACCGGTGACGGCTACTCAAAATCGAAGGTATCCGAGTGATTTATTGATTTATTGAACGGCGGTGTATATGTCATTGTCTTGATTGATGTAGGTGTAATATGATTACAATGTAGAAGTGGAAACAGTTATTATCAGCCTATAGTTTGTCGTGGAATTTTTCAGCGAAATGTTTTTTCAGCGAATGTTAATGATGCTTCGGCTTTTGACTTTTATTTTATATCGAAATAAAATTCTTTTTTATATGCAAGGTTAATTAAAAAAGTAAATAAATATATTTCTTCATATAAATAAATGTAATAAATTGAAAATTTCTGTAAAATATTTATTTCTTATATTTTTGTATTTTTTAAAAATTATTATTTGAATTATTTTATTTAATTAAATTACATAACGTATAAATTTAATTAAATTACATAACATATAAATATCATTCTACGTTTGTATTGGAAATGCGATACAATAATTTTCGAATTTTATGTATGAGATATTAACTTATTAAAATAAATTTATTATATGTAAACGATTCGAGATTTATATACAACAATTTATATATTTATTATACGTTTGTATATAAAATCTACACAGATCGGAGAAATGGGAAACACATGCTATTAATTTGATATCTTATTCTTGCAATGCTTGCCAAAATAAATTAGTTTTTTCCTGTCGATTTATAAATTAATAGAGTGTAGCAAAAAAAAAAATGAAAATTTATTACATGTTAAAAAAGAGAAAATTCTTAATCTATTTTATCGATAATAATAAGTGTTAACAAGTGTGCGGGAAAGTAATTTATATTCTGACGTATAATACATACACACACACACACACACACACACACACACACACACACACACGAAAGAAATTTATGTAATATCTCGCTCCCTCACCTGACATAATCCAACATGTCTGCAGTAAAGGGCCAAGAATTCCTTAAGAAACATACCTGTAAACGACGTAACCGGCGTCGTTGGTCAGCTCGCAGATCCATGGACACGGTTTCATCGGTATAAGTATAGTGGTGGTGTTGGACGGGCCATATAGAGTCATGTTATACGTGGGATGCGACTGCGAAAACAGAGGAAGCGATTAAACGCGCGTGAAAAAACGATCGAAGAATGAATGAAAATCTCCCAGAAGCGGCGGATTAGCCATAGCTGCTACCTACTCGTTTGTCCTTCCAGCCCACCAGAGGTGGAAAACAAATGACAAAGCTCAAAATCCAAACGATGGCCACCAGTATTCTGGCTCGTTTCGTTGACATAAGCTGGATTTATGGAAATGAAAAAGAGAGACGATTAACGTCACGATAAGTAAAAGAGATGATATGCTCATCGACTCGTGCAAATTCTTGGTAATTTAAATATTCACAAGTGTCTGGTATTTCTCGATTTTTCACTTTCCGATATGCCAGATTTTACATTGTCCGAGAGATTTTTGCAACGAAATATCTATAGAACCGCTTCTACCATTTTATCGTATTAAAATCTCTTTATAAGAAAAATATAATAGATTAATACGTATAATCGGCCGCGAAATCAATCGTTGCGAATGAAATATTTTGAACAGAAACGAAGAGTAAAAATTTGAAATAAAGTTATAAATGACTAAACAAGTCTCTAAATCTCGTCTATAAAAAAACTTTCTTTCAACTCGACCGCGTATTTTTCGTAATCGCAAGTGCTCGCGATTACGCAGAATATTTCCGATCATACCATATTGTTTCGCTTTGCATAAGTACGTCGAGTTGGACGAACAAATCGATTGATGCGTAATGCACGGCAGATCTCTCTGGGATAATCGTTTTCACGAATGCCGAGTGGTACTTGCCTGAGGATAACTGACTGGCCTGGTCACAGCCAAGTACCTATCCAAGCTGATGGCGCATAAATTCAATATCGACGCCGTGCACATCCAAACGTCGACCGCCAACCACACGGAGCACCAGAGATCTCCGAATATCCAAACCTTTTGAGAAGAACGTTTACGGGAAATGTATTCAATATCAATGACGAGGAGAGTCTTTATATTGGGCTTTAAAAGCACAACTATAGGAAATCCTCTTATCTCTACCGCGAGCAATCGAATTCAATGTTAATTTTATTCGACTACTTAGTTTATTTCCATTCAAAATTTTTCATATGAAATGTAAAAAAAAAAGCAATAAATTTAGAATTGAAAATGAACGACTTTCCATACATCTTTTCCTTAGACACGACGAAGCGGTGTAAGATAGATACATTAATCGACGTCATTAATATCGATCATACGTAATATTATTATTATTTGCAAAATGTAGCCGACAAATAAGATATAGAGCCGGCAGCTGTCAAAGATTGAATCGATTCTCATTCGGGTCGACGATGTACAATGTAACCACAATGATTCATAATGCAACCATGTACAATAGAATCCCATGTACCATGCATGCAGCATGCGTGATGCGCGTTGCACGCACAACGCATTCGCATAATGATGGGTAATACAACATGTGGCTCTCTACGGGGTGGCAAACCACCTGTTCAAAATGAGTTTCGGCTCAAGTGGTGTTAAGCATGATACCGATATTGGAATTCAGTAATTAACCTTCATTATTTACCGTCTGAAGTAAATTACTACAGCTATAAATATACGATTCCGCTCGACAATTGCAATTAAAACCGATTCGCTTTCATTTGACGATTTTTTGCATTTATTGATTATTTATTTGTTCTCTTTTCTCTGTCACGATTTGATGAATTATTAAAAGAGATCTCGGAAAATTTGATTTATTAAGAGAGAATAATTTTGCGATTACAAACTACAAACAATTACGCAAAATTATGCAATTATTAAAGAAGAATTTTTGTCATTTTTCGAAAAAATTTTGCTCAATCAAATAAAATATTAAAAAATGTATTGCTAGTAATAACATTATATATGTAAAAAACTTTGTGGAGATATCAAAAGATTTGCGAATAACATTCTTCACGTTCTTTTATATCAAGGAAATCTGTTTAAATTTAGTTGCCAAGTAAAAGGCCTTGAATACGTTATCAACAGCTAGCGAGAGAGAGCTTTATTAATTGCTCGTTATTGTTTGCTTGTCTATGAATGTACATAGATACATACATATGCATGTATAATGCAACCGTTCCGATTCTACTTTTGTTCTCAGCCTGGCTGAGCAACGCGATATTTAATTAAAATCAATTTTATCATATAATCAGCAGGCAATAGTTATATAGATAGGTTTTATCGACAAGCTCGGGGAATATTAATTGAACGATATCTAATTTCAAGAAAATGCTAATCGATATTCGCTTTCGTTTCACCGCAAATACTTTGACCGAAACCATCGCCTTCGCGTTTATGAATATTCTAAGAAATTTACATCCATTATCACATTAAGTTAGTCTTCCCTTAAATGCAGATATTGAGGGCACTTCTCCGCACCGCACGTCTCCGCGTCCAAGATACCCGTTATTGCTTCTTTCTTTCTTGACTTTGACGCTGAGAAACGCTTTATGCCGCGCCACTCGACCGATCTTCTCCGGAAGAGAAGACGGGCAAGGAAGAGAGACGTTTCAGACGAAGCAGAAAGAATCATATCATGATAAGTGCGCGAAGAAAATGAAAGGAAGAGGAACTAACTCGCGCTATGTCGTGTAAACTTCAGCTCCTAAATGGAGCACCTCGTTTTGGCTCGACCTAAAAGAGACTCGTGTCACTTCCATACACCCGCGCCGTCAATTACCGATCCGTTTCCGTCAAACATTTTGTACGCACGCGCGCGCACACACACATACACACACATAAATATCGCGAGCATCGCGGGAATTCAGGCTGGAAGCACCAAAGGGAAAAGCCAGCAAACTGTTGCGTCCTCCGCGAATCTCACTTAACCGGCATATCTCGTTCGACGGTGATACCGAGATGGAGTGAACCATCGCGTCTTTTCGTGACTTCTTCCAATCGCATTAGAGAAGGATGAGATCAAAAGGAATGATGCTACGAATTGTAAAAAAAAATTCTATCACATCGTGAAAGGTAGAGCGTACATTTTATGATTAACAATATGACAATCCTTCGAAAAGGTTACGATTTGAAGATAAATAATATTTATATAGATAATATTTTATTATTATATGAAATTATTTTTATAAAATTATTTTTTATAAAAATTATATAAGAAAAGATATTTTAAAACTATGAGAAAAATATATAGAGTGACCAATATTTTAGAAAAATTGAGACTGTCTTTCATGTAATAATATTGAACGGATAAAAGACAAGGATTATTGCAACGATTTATCGGATCGGATATATTTTATGTGATTATCATTATATTGTTAGAAAGACTTTCAAAGCAGAAGCAGAGAGAGAAGGGAAAAGAGAGACTATAACATCCAAAAATTCGAAATAAAATATATATTTCTAAAATTGTTTTTGGGTTAAAATTTCCGCGATTAACAATGTGACAATCCTTTCGAAAAGATTACAATTTTGGAATATTTTATTCCTATGTTAAATCATTTTTTTTTAAATTTTGATGTATAAGAAAAGATATTTTAAAACTATGAGAAAAATATATAGAGTAAATAATATTTTTTAAAAATTGATTTTTGTCAGCTAAGATAGTGTCTTTCATGTAGCAATATTGATAAAAGATAAGATAGCATTACTGCAACGATTCATCGGATCGAAGGATATATTTTATGTGATTATCATTATACCGCTAGAAAGCTTTTCAAAGCAGAGGTAGAGAGAGAAGGGAAAAAAAAAATTATAATGTCCAAAAATTTGAAATAAAATATACATTTCTAAAATTGTTTTTGGGTTAAAATTTCCGCGATTAACAATGTGATAATCCCTTCGAAAAAATTACGATTTTAGAATAATATTTTATTCCTATGTTAAATCATTTTCTAAAAAATTTTGTTGTATAAGAAAAGATATTTTAAAACTAGAAAAAAAATATATAGAGTAAATAATATTTTTTTAAAATTAATTTCTGTCACCTAAGACAGTATCTTTCATGTAGCAATATTGAACGGATAAAAGACAAGGTATGTGATTATCATTACGATTAGAAAGCTTTTAAAAGCAGAGGTAGAGAGAGAAGGGGAAAAAATTATAATGTCCAAAAATTTGAAATAAAATATACATTTCTAAAATTGTTTTTGGATTAAAATTTCCGCGATTAACAATGTAACAATCCCTTTGAAGAGATTACGATTTTGGAATAATATTTTATTACTATGTAAAATCATTTTCTAAAAAAATTTTGTTGTATAGGAAAAGATATTTTAAAACTGTGAGAAAAATATATAGAGTAAATAATATTTTTAAAAAATTGATTTTTTAACAGTCTTTCATGTAGCAATATTGAACGGATAAAAAACAAGAAAGCGTTCCCATTAATTCGAAATAAAATGCATATTTCTGAAATTGATTTTAGATTAGAAAAGTCCCAAATTCTAATTAATTTTAAATCGGAAAAGTTGTACTCGTATATACGTTTGTATATTGTATTTTTCTCTCGTTTACTCTGATATTTTAGAATACATCTCGTATGTCACATGTGGATACATTGTGAAGTAAAATTCGTTCTGTTCGAATTGCGAAAACACGTAGATTGTGTCGAAAACCTCGCTAACTGTTAAAAACTGCACGCTAACGAAAGACCAATAAATAGAATTTCAATGATGATCAACTCGTTGTTATTTCGACATGTCGTAATGCCATTGCCTGATGCCATTGTACGTATACATACACGATCATCGTGTGAAAAGTGCACTATTGATCGTGACAAAGTGACTATCGTCGATTCAAGATGCAATTTTGACGGGGCAATTCAAAACACAGAATGCCATTCAGAAACGGTACATTAATAAAACATGATCGGTATTTGATAACGAATATTTGGCGCGATAAAGGATCTTTATCGAATATTTCTCTTTTATCATACTTTTTCATTGTTTTGACATAACAACGATGGCATTTATTGAAAAAAAAATATATTGCGTCGAACCCTTTATTTTGATGATCGTATTCCATTTATTTTTCAATATTTATTCATGATGCGATTGTCACAATTGATAAAACGCGTAGTGAACGAAAAGAACACTTACCTTGTAGACCTCCCAGGTTGCGCTGAATGGCAAGACGGCGACTCCGACCATTAGATCGGCAACAGCCAGGCTCACGATGAACATATTCGTCACGTTCCTCAGCTTGTTGGTGCAGTAGACGGCCAATATGACCAGGACGTTACCTATCACCACCATGATATTGACAATACCCAAGACGATTAGAGTAACTACGTTCCACAGGCTTGACCACTCGACGCCCTCGTGCAAAGCAGCGCATGCGGTGGCGTTCAGCTCTCGCATTTTAATTAACTCTCGCGGTCCTCGGATGCGCCCGTGCGATCTTGTCGAAGGACTCCGCAGGATTTCGTGCACGACAACGATGACGAGAGATGCGAATCGGGAAGAACGTGCCAAACACCTTGAATCGCCATAATCAGGAAAGTCCCCCTTCGTCAAAGGTGTACAACGGCACTTATCGATTATCACTCTGTGTCTTTGCAGTTTTCACTAGATTCTTCGCATCACCAATAATGATGAAGTCTTTGCGATCCTCGACGGTTGATTGATTCACTCGACGAGTCGCGGGACTAGAACTTGAAGACACTCGCAGTTTTCCTTGGACTCGAGGACACACAACCGCGTTTTCTTCGTATATTAATCTATTGACTAGTTATTTGATCGATTAATTGTTTTTTTCATTAATTTACACCTTACGCATCATTGACGTGACTTACATTACTTTATCTCGATTGATCGTTATTTTAGAACAAAATTACACGGATCGTTTTTCTTTCTCTGGATTATTTCAAAATCATCGCTGGATTATTAAAAATGATAGTCGGATTCGTCAAACGAGATACCCTTGTAAGTTATTACACTTGTTAATTATTACACTACGCAAATTATTACACTTGTTTTCTCTTTCCAATATTTTTGTTTCGCGGGGATTATATTTGTAACTTTCGTTGAACACAACCGTTAATTGAGGACCAATCCTCCATATGAATTCCCGTCGATATTTCCACAATTACGATCGGATAAACTCGTTAATACGCACGTCGGACACGTTCACGAGACACTTGATTATACACTGTGCAATTCTGGTAGTTTTAGTTTCGCGGTCGCGAACGCGATCACGTTGTTTCAGATAATCGATAATCCTCACTCTCTCTTCCTCTCTTTCTCTCGGGTCGTTTGCGTTGCACCTTGGATATCGTTTAACGTTACGTGGCCTTTAAACAACGAGTAGTGTTTTAGACAGCGAATCCACTAGCGGACTACGACTCAGTCTCTTTGTTTGAATGTCTGCAGTTCACTCGTCGTTTTCGTGTCTTCTCATCGTTTGCGAATTGCTATCGCGATCTACATCTACATCAACGAGACACATCATATCTCTCGAATTTCATCAACGTGAATTCGTAGATCACATTGCTTTTTCAAGCGTACTCTTTTTTTTTTATCAGTCGCACCTTTTACTCCAGAATCTTGATGGAATCTTCTCAATCTTCTGATAACTTCTTGATTATTCCGCTCTCGTCCGGAATTTTTCCTACGCGTTCTTTCTCTTGCCGACACGGTTATATCCGAAATTATGTCGATCGAATGAAAGAATCTACCGCGATTCTATAAACGATACTTCAATGCTATCTTGCGCGGAAACGGTTCCCGCTGGGGGTGATTCTCGGCAGAAACCGTGCGATAAAATCACCCTATGATCGCCCACGTCAACACGAAACTCCGCATTGTCGCACGATCCACGTGTCACAGTCCATTAGCCTTTCCCTAAAGAGAAACGGCAGAATACAACAAGGGAAACGTATCTTAGCGGGCAAATGTCGCGCGTGTCGTGATCGTAGTCGGTTTTTTCCCTTCTTTTTTCGTCTTTCTTGTACTTCTCGCAGTAGTAGTAGGTTGCAATCTCTGCTCCGGAAATCGCTTTAGCTTCCCTGTATTGCTTCGACTGCACTTTTCGTTGCCCCCACGCATACAACGATCACATACCCACCCAACCTAGCTCTTCCTCCTCCTGTGGCTTCACCCTCTCGTGACGGGAGGTATTTTTCCTCCTCCTCCTCCGTCTTTCCTTACCAAATCGAATCCGACAGAAGTCTTCCGATGTTCATTCCGCTCGAAAGATTGACGTTATCTCACCAAGAATTGAAAACAGCGTCGTCGCTTCTATTAAGCACAATCGTTGACTAGTATTCTCTTCTTGAATTTTATCGACCTCGAAACGATCGGTTGATTGCCTTTTTCCTCGGTCTCGTTCCCAAGATAAGGGGTAGCTTGATCCTTCCAGGAAGCTCCTATTGGTATAAATCGATAGCGATTTCTTGAAACCCTAATTGCACATCTTTTACTCACGTAGATATATATATATATATATATATATATATATATAAATTCCAGAGACATGTAAGAAATTTTTCTACACAGAAAAAAAATAAGTGTCAAATCAAAATTTATATACTTAAACTAACGCGTTCGTTGCTCCGTATATACGCAACAATTTATTATCTTCTTAGAAGAATTTAATAATTTTAAATTTCAACAATATTACAGTCTTAATATTGTAATTGTTACGTCAAGAATATATAATTATTTAATTCTACTTTGAGAAAATTATAATCTTTGATTTAAAAATATTATTTTCTATCTAACATTGTTTCTTTTCCATTCAAGAAAATTAAATTTTAAATCATAAGAATATATTTTTCTTAATTGAACTATATAAAATGGCTTCATTCAAGTAAGCAATTATTCAAGCAATTATATTTTTCTTTAATTAACGCGATATAATCTCATTTTCAAGATTTCCATGTTAAAACTAAATATATTTTCAAAATAAGAATCCTTTTTTTCTATGTACTTAAAGAATTTTAAAACGAAGAGATTTTCCTGGGCTTGCGCTTTGTGTTTTTTCTGCCCTCACTATTGGTAATTATAATAAAAGTTTCCCGTCGTCAAATGAATTCCCAGCTCGTTTGCTTAAGGAACGTACTACGATTTTCTTATCGGGGTCTTTGTAGATGAAACGAAACGCTTTGAACTTTCACATTTGAACGAACACGATCGAACGATTCGCGCAGACAAATTACGGTCGTGTGATTGCTACGTGACTGCCGCGAGAGTGAAAAATTATTTTTCTCTTAAATTTCGCTTCTGCCAGCAAGCGTTGAACGGAGCAGCAATTTTTGCTGTTCGCTTCGCGAGCGGGAAAGAGCGCTTCTCGCCCAACCTAACAACGAATATCTCATATAATCTTCGTTGAATGAAAATCTCTATCCCGCGGCCGCCGTTTTTTATCGTGTCGAGAGAATCTCAGCGTGTATAAACGGCTGCTCGTTACGCTCTCGGATGTAAAAATCGACTCTCGTTTTATATTTGATAATCTCGCAGAAAAAGAGGGAAGAACAGGGTTAAATTATTTCTTCTCCTATTCTCATAAACTTCAAATTAAATTCTCGATTCGCTTTAGTTCGCACGAAAATTCTCGTCTTTGCCGATCCTGTGTTCTTTCGCGATATTATGTTTAATTTCTTCCGACAATCACATTCTATTCACGACGCATCGGATGGACAAAAGCGCGAATCAAGCTTTCAATTATCATTGACATTTCTTCTCGTATCAATGAGCGAACAGAATGTAATCTTGAACGTATGTGTCTTTAACAAATCCGTGTTCCTATCTCGGAATCTCGATTCAGGACAATCTACGCGCGCGTTGATCGTCCCTACTGGGGATTCTCCTCCTGGTGCAATGAATTTGCTGTTACGCGGTCGACCGGAGATTGCAATCTATCCCTACAATCCTCCTGCCTTTTCGCAAGTTTTTATTGAAGCGCGCGCGAAAGGTTAACTGAAAAGATGCCAGATCGTCAGCAGATTTCTGGAAGTGTGATCACGTTCCACCGCGAATCGCGAGAGCTGAATTTTTGCCGCGAATTTTCTCCGGCGGTCGTTCGCTGATGCGTTCGGAGACGAACGCGGGGTGAATTGACATCAAATTGATACTGAAAATTTCCCGCGGCAAATCCCGGTAGATTAATCTCATCGACCAAATCCGCGCGCCACCCCCGCTTCGACGATCAGCTGCTTTTTTTCGGGCGCGCGTGGGCGGTTCATTCATTCCCGGAAGCTATCGATATCGAGTCGTATCTCCCACGGTCTCGCTTTTGCCAAAAGAAATAAACGAAAAATGTTACTTCTCTTTCCAGCGATCGTTCGATATCGAGAAAAAGTAGACACGAAACTTGAAGTCGTTTGTTCAGCCTTCAACGTTTCCTTACCTTCCCTTCGTGCTATCCTTCTTGTTCCGCTTCAGCAATCTTCACGAACGATTCGTCTCCTACTTATCGAGCGCGTTGCTAGATTTAGCTGCGAGTAGCTTCCCTCCGTTCGACGACGTTTCTCCTTAACTCTTTCGTTACCTCCGCTCGTCGGATTATATATTTCTTCGGAATCGAAGGAAACGCCGGACTAGATAGCTCGTCGACTGGATGGCTCGCCCTCGTTTGCACTTTGTAATTCAAGTTTGCGGAAGTAGCTTGAATCTTTAATTCAACCAATCTCGATCGGATATTCTAAGCTAATTCCATTGTGTCAGTCGCTTGAAAGTGTGCTTTTTCCTCCTTCTTTCCCCTTTTTGCTGCCTAGATTCTCTTTCTTTTCTCTCTTTTTCCTTTCTTAGGCTATCGATTAAGAGGTCCAATAAACTGGCAATTATTTTCTCTCGCTCTTTTGGCGAAAAAGAGAGGTGCTAAAACGCCGCATGAATTTTCAATTATCTCTCTTCGCAGTTCGTTCGACACTTTTACGGATTTTCTTTAATTACATCTCATCTGCCGATAATCTGATATACCGAGTGAATTCCCAACGATCTCTTCGGGTTTGATCGCGATTTACTCTTTGGGGGATGCAAAACACCGAATGAATCTTCAATGAGGCAGCTACTGTCACTTTTCAGTTTTGCGGAAGTCCGGCTATTACGTTATCTATCCTCGACAATGATTTAAATAATAAAAACACTATGATGACGTTTAATTTTCATTTTAGAAGCATTTGTAGAAAAAAACTGCTTTTATTTAAATAATTTAACATTCGCTCTAGTTCTTGATAGTCTAATTTCGTCGAAGCACTTTCGAAATGCGCCGAAAAATGAGGCACATTTTCCTACGAGAAATTCGGTGTAAATAATCCGAGAGGATCGCGTTAATTAGCGTCGGCTTTTGGTCTTAAGCGGCCTAATTTTCGCTGATTCCAATTTTAATCACACTTCATATATTTTTTCGCGAAAACACCGACGAAAATCTCGCTTTGATCTCGTCCCTTATATTTCTCCGCGATTAAACATCAGTCGACTTATTCGTTCAAATCCCTTTTCACATTTCGACCCCCAATCGCTTCTCTCTTTCTTAATTACCTTGTCCTCCGTTCTTTTCCGCCGCTCAATTTTCTTCCCTCTCAATCCAAACGTTTAAAATGCTTCTCAGCTCGCCGCCTCTTTTTCTGATACTTCCTCTCGACCGCTTTGCACTTTTTAATTGTCAATCCCTTTCAGTTATTGTCCCTTGGTATTGGTATTTCCACTATCTGTGGATATAAAACGCTGCGAAATTTCACGATTTCGTTTGAAATCGCCGAGTGGCTTTACAACGATATTGACGACGCGACAATCTTTCTCGTTGATGCGGTGAAATAATTTTAAGCCCGGTCCAACTATTGGACGATCCGAGTGCCACTCAAACTTTTCAATTGCGATGAATTCTCCCTCCCCGGATTCGTCAAGTAATGCTCCTCCGCTCGACGCGGCCAAAGTTATCGTAGATCTCGGTCGAATTGCGTGAACATCTCACATCTTTCCAAGGGATTCGCTAACCTTCAGGAACAGCGGCGACGAGAGAGAAAGAGAAAGAACACTGCAAGGTAATCGAGAGCGTGTTGTCGAACGTGATTAGACGCGAACTGAAGCACGCCGGATAAATCCGACGAGCGTTTCCTCGATGGATCGTGTTCTGCTCGCGTTGCTTTCGTGATCGTTAACCGACAATGCAGCTCCGAGCTTGGCAGTTTGCCGACTCTACGAAGGCGATTCTTGCCTTCTTATTTATATACAATCAATGCGCTCTACGATGGCATCAATAAATGCAAGGGATTCAATGACTTGATTCTTGCAACGCACCTTTGCGAGGATGAGATTAGCTTCGTCTTAATCCTTCACTTTTCTTTAAAGAATATAGGTAACATTTAGATCGCGATTAGTGTTTACAGTATTATAATATGGATACAGTTTATAATAGTGTCAATCACACGACAAAGTACAGCAACGATCGAACTAATCGATGTCACAAATTGCGACGATAATGTTCCAGTCTCGCGTGTTCTTCGTGAGGGGAGTCTAATTTTATCAGTCTTAACGATTTCCGCGCATCAAGCCTCTGAAAATCGGAGTCTAAAGAGTAAAAATCACAGCCAGTGAAGTGAAATTACGCTCGTCGATCGTCGCCACGATCGCGATCAGTCTCGTGTGCTCTCGTATGTGTGTGTATGTGTGTGTATATGTGTGTATGTGTGTGCGCTCCTTCTTTCTTTACTCTCGTCGACACTTATCGCTTTAGATACCACTGGATGCGCTAAGTTATCTTCCGGCATCTGGCGCACTGTCTGTATCTAAGCAATCTAAAGAGCGCTGCTTTCTTGATGCGCTTCGATCGCATTATTTCGCTCGATCGGTCCTACTACGGTTGCTTTAGGAGACCCTCTCGAAGTAACGCGCGTAATGCATCCCACGGGCTTCCCGATGATTTATTCCGCCCTTGCGCTCATTCCATTCGCGAACGACAGCGTCTGCAAAAGAAAGCATGAGAAAAATCTCGTTGTTACCATGGTAAGGATTGACTATCAACTGTCGACGACTGCAATCGATGAAGCAGTCCGAAGTAAACGATAACGAGATTGCACTTACAAGAAAATTTTATTCAGTTGTTACTTAGTTGTGTGTGTTTGCCCCTCGACAGGGAAAAGGATATATTTGACGGAATAAATTTTATCCCGAAAAAAAAAAAATAAAATTTTTCTCTCTTTGAGCCTTGAACTTAATAAAGTAATACTTAAAAGTATTCTAGAGTTAGTTAGACTAAAATTAAATTTCTCTGAGTAAAATTAAATTTCTCGAGTCTAAATTTTTCAAGAAGTTGCTTTTAAAATAATTAAATTGATAGTTTTTTCTCCATTTAAATTGAATATATTAGATTTTGTTTCTTTTTCTCTTATCTGCACACAATATAAAAATTATTTACTTAAATTTAAGATAAAAAACTTGTGAATTTTGTAAAATATTAAATAAATTAAAATTTTGATTATTAAATTTAATTATTAAATTACTCAAATATGTTAGGTTGTTAATTATTCTTATTTTCTCATAACTAATATACTTTACAATAAAATAAATCATCTAAATTCCAACAATAATTATACAATCTTCAAATTTATTGGAAGTTTGAATAAATTTAGTAGTTCGATGCTATCACAAAACAAATCGAATATACCAGAAATGGAATGGTATGCGCAAAGTTGATAGAGAATTCGGTTCAAAGACTAGATGGAATTGAACGTAGATGAATGGACAATCTCGGGCGAGCAAAAAGGAAAACCGCTGATGACAACTGCCACTCAAATACGAAATATACGTGGATTGGTCTATTATCGCTAACAATCGGTATCATTATGCTTGTTTCCTTCTTCGAAAATTGCGACTCGAGCGATGCAAATGATTTCTTTCGACATTTTTGATTTAGAAATTATACGTGTTAAGTCTGATAAAAACCAATTCTAATAAAAACTCTAAAAAAATAAAAAAATGGTCGTATTTCGCTACAAACGAATACTCGTGATAAATCATGTTCATACGACATAAATTTTTTACAATTTTAGTTTTTCGCATTTAATTGCACATGTCAGTCTTTTTAATTTTACCGATATTTCACGTCATATATAAAAGGATAAATATTTTTATATTTATATTATACATTTTTATACATTTAAATATTTCATAATTTGGTCATATTTCCAACGTTAATTTTTCACTTGATCTAATAAAAAATATATATATATATATATCAATAAAAATATATCTTTCATATTATGTATGATATAATTTGTCCTTGTGTGCCTTCATCTTATTTGTAAGTAGGTTACATAAAGTCCTGCTTCTTCTTCGTTTTTTTTTAATTGCAATTAAGTGCATCTCAACAGCACCTGGTGCATCCAAGTGAAACAGCCGCTCGATAGGGACGTTTGACGTAATTCATTGGAAATGTTCGAAGATAGAATCTGACGACAACAGAAAATTTCCGTGTATAACTGCATGTACAATAAAAAAAAAATATTAATGACGTTAATAATTGGTGCATATATGATTCTAAATAATTTAAAATAATAACACGTCATCTCTCACAAAAGTAGTCTCATATAAAATTACAGAAATAAGTTTACTCTTTATAATAAAACTTTTTACTACTTTTTATAGTAAAATATACATCTGTACGATTTTTATTTTTTACATTCTTTCATCTTTAATCCCTGATATATTAAAAAGGGAAGAATATAAAGTCTTAAATTTTTTAAGATCTACTTCTTTTAATTCTTACTTTTATTTACATTCTTGTTTTAAAATCATAAATATAGATCAGAGAGCTCGCTAATTACAAGTCACAAAGAAACTCGGAGAAAACCGATACTCGCTTTTTTTCTATATTTATCGACATAAAAAAAATTTCACGTAAAAAGCAGAATCATGTACATGGCTGTTTATCCTTTTCTTATTTGTGTGCAAAATGCGCAGTAACAAATATGACAAAGAGATTATGAGTGAAAAATATTAAATGATAAACAGAAAGAAGAAGGAAAGAAATAGAAAGTGGTAAAAACACGAAATGTTCGTGTTATACTGAACACATATATATGTCTGCAGAGACAACAAACAGTGAAATGCGAGGCAATGTAACTTGCAGCCAGCAAGAGTATTCCGTTTATTAATTAACATTTGCCCTTTATCTTCACATAAATGTGCATAAAGAATTATATATAAGCTCTTTTGACTCATTTATCGTTGACTCTTTGATGTTCATTCTCTTGCGAATCTCTCTGCATGATTCTTTTATATGTATTAGAATTATTATATTCCATCGTATCAGCTATTGAAATATTATATCACACCTATAATATATTATAATATTTATTCATTAAAATAATAAAAATTCATCAGTACATGTGCACTTATGGGCTTAGCCTACATACATTTTGTTATTTTTAAAATAATATAATATTAAAAAAATATAAGTAAATATGAAAGGAAAGAAAATAATTCGAAAGAAAAGGGAATTAAAAAACACAATTTCATATTTACATGCAATATAAAAAAAGGATATACATATATAAACATATTTAAACTCGAATGGCGTAATATACATAAGGGAGAATGCTGCACTGTGAGAAACTTTTCAGAACATTCGTGTAAGCAACGTTCATCATGTATGCATGTACGTTGGCTTGTAAAAGAGAAACGGTCCTTTATGCGAAGATGCGCGCGAAAGAGGATGATTATACTTTTACATGTACATAGTCTTTAATATACATATACTAGAACTACGTATTTCTCATCCGTTCTTATGTTTACAGAAGCTCGAAACTGTCGGAGGGTTAAGAAGCACGTCTTTATAACCAGAAATGAAACTCTAAAAGACGCAAAGAAGGATATTTTACGCGAAAAGCTCGATCTATTCTAATCATATCGTTCAAATATAAGATATTTTATTTTATTTTATTTCATTTCATTTTATTTTATTTTATTATCTTCATAATTTCTATGTTAATTATGATGAGAGCCACTTATATAAAAAAATCAAATATAAAATCGCAAGAAATTCTGTATTTTCCACGATTAGCAAAATATGAATCACGCGATTATTTTTCAACGAGTAATTTACGAAAATTTCGAGCGCCAAATCAATTTTCATAATCAAAATTAACTCGATAGAAAACTGTCTCTAACTCGGTGCAATTTCTCACGCAATTTCTCGAGAGATTGGCTTTTAATCGGCACGTGACATAGCTCTTCATCGGAATCATGCCGGTGCTAAAATAACGCGAGGCTGTTTAACGAGTCCGAAAACTTTAAATTGCTACATCCATCGAAGAAAAGTTCCGGAACGTTACCTTGCCACGCCGGTATCTTTCCATTCATTTTGGTGGCGTACATAAATTTTTCCCTTCGTATCTTACCGTAAGATTCGCTTTTTCGATCCGGCATAAATTCGACGCGGCTTCGATATCAGGATTGAATCTCTCTCCCTCTCTTTTTTTCTTCGTTTCTGGTCTGGTAAAAGTTTGTTCTTGCGCAGAGAAAAGGAAAGGAAAGCACAAATCGCGCGAAATTATATTTCGCTGATTAATAATAGATGTCAAGCGTGAAAATCTCGATGTGAATCGATGCATGAAGTACAACAAACACATACGGTTAAAATCAATATTGAGATATGGAAACGATTAATGTATATTTTTAAAAAAATATCCTGCTGAAAAACACACCTCAAGTTTTTCTCAAGCTTAGACACAAAAAAAGCATCAATGTACTTCAATATATTTCTTAAATACAGTTGCGTTCGAGAAAAAAGTATCTCTACAAAATTATGAAATCATATAATAGATTAATATAAAAGTAAAATAAATTTTTTTTTCAATACAGAACATATTTATTTACATTTGCGTATATTTAAATTTTTATTTTATATTTTAATTGTCAATAAATAGCATTAAAATCAATTTAATATTTTTAATAAAATAAAATAAATTTTTTTAAATAAAATAATGTACAAAGAGACTATTCTTAAAAGAATATATTATTTTACTTTTTTGCACAGGCACATACAAATTTTAATAATGTTTAATTAGATTTGAAATTAATACGAGAAATTAAATATTAAAGTGACATTCACTTTTGACTGAGCTTTACACGCGGATTATGCGGATAAACAATGAAAATTTTTGCACAACTGCAATTAAGACACCGTGAACGTATTGTCGAGATCTTCTCGTAAAGATTGCAAAGCGAAGACAAGTCCCTTCGGAATTGCCTCCGACTTTGACTTCGGCCCGACACGGAATAGATTCGCTCCCCTAGCGAACGTCGCTTATTTAATTTCAAGCGTAACTTCGATGAAATGACGTGAAAGAAGAGTTGACGAGAAACCAGTGGCGTTCTGACGAAAGTTTGTGTAGCCTAAACGTGGATTTGAAAGGGTTTGTCAGTTTTATCAATGATACCAAACGGTATCGTTGATACGATATTACTCAACTTTCGCGCCAATATAAGTGCAATTAAACTTGATTGATGAATCTAAGGAATATATCAACCCGTCATATTTCGTGGATCTAAAAAAAATGCTTTACAATTTGTGTAATATAGAAAAAAAATTAATTATATAATTAATTAAACATATAAATATAATATGTAGGAATAAAATACGAAGTATTTAAAATAATTATTATTATTTTAACATATGTACATAGTGTTAATTATATAATATAATAGTAAATATTGTTTTGTTTAAAATGTGTTGTAAATTTAATATTTTATACAATGATTTTAGTTGTAAATTACTTTTAATATACAATGTATATATTAATATTACCATTATATTAATATTACCAGGTTGTTATTAATATTTCTAATATACATGCTTAATGAGAGAGAAGAGAGGAAGATTATTTAAATTAATATTAAATTATAATAGAGAAGGAAATTATTATTTCGTTGCTATAATTGATAGCAAAGTCGATGATATTAT